AGTTTACAAGAACAGTTACAACGACCCGCAGATCAAGGCTTATATTTTAACAGTAAATTTAAATCGAATAATTACGAATAATTGTGTAATCATATCACCTATTAACTATAATTGTACAATAGATGAAATCAGTTATTCACCATATTACATTGAGAGAGTGGTGACTAGAGACGGCGAAGTTCATGTCATTCGTAAAGACACAAAAACAGAATTTGAATGTTCACGTCAAGGGTACTTTAGGCATCCGAGTGGTTGTAATCGATTTTATCGTTGTGTGAAATTTGATCAACAGTCTAATTATTTCACGGTTTATGAATATGATTGTCCTGATGGCTTAGCGTTTGATGAGAAAGTTGAGGTATGCGTATGGCCAGGATCTTTATCTAATACAGGAGCTTGCCAAGGTAAATTCATATTGTTATAATATCTTAGAATACAATAATATTACTGAAATTGATAAATAGGTAATAGTTGTATTATGTTGATCTATTTTTAATAACACCAATTTTTTTTTTCATATTCCCTTTTTAGGTTCTAGTGAAATTGCCCCTGTACCTCGAAATCAATTTCTATGCCCACCAATAGAAGGATATTATGCTGATCCTGAAAACTGCCGTTGGTTTTTCGCCTGTCTTGATCATGCTAAAGATGGTTATACTCCACTTACGGCGTACGAATTCAGATGTCCATTTGGATTAGTTTTTGATGAAAAATCATTGAAATGTGATTGGCAGTGGAAAGTTGGATCTTGTGGTAAGTTTAATAGTACCAGTTTTATTTTCTATTATATTTACTATTATTATTTACATTCTTAATTTATATTTAAGGAACCTCTGGAATAACGCATGCAAATAATTATAGAGAACAATCCTACCAACCGAATCAATTCAACACTTTGTATGGAAATGAGCAGTTTGTTGTTCCATACGAAAAGTATAGCCAAGATCAACCTCAGTTCTCATTTGATTCTGTTGATACTTATGTCGCTCCAAATAAATTTAATTTACCATATCCTACAACTAGCAAACCTCAGTTTTCTTACGATTCAACTGCAAATTATGCTAAGCAAAATGTGCCCCAGTCATTATATAGCTCTGGCCAATCTTATTCACCGCCGAATAACCCTCAAATTCCCTACAGTTTACCAGATTCTTATATTAACCCAATCAATTCACACATATCGTATAGTTCAACTGAAACATATCCAAGCACAGTGAAACCTCAACCCTTATATGGATTAACTGGAACTTATGTTACGTCAAAAAAACCTGAATTTTACGGATCTACAGAGTCCTATGCTACTACAAGTAGACCACAATTATTTTATGGTTCAACCGAAGGTTATTCTAGTACGATTAAACCTCAGTATTCGTATAGTTCAACCGAAACTTACACCACTAAAAGTAAACCTGAATTCAGTTATGGACCCTATGGACCTTCAGAATCATATTCTACTACAGGGAAGCCTCAATTTCCATCCAACGAAGCAAATGCATATTTAGTTCCGAATCAATCAAGCTATAGTCCAGAATATTATTATCAATTCGGCGGACCTTTAGGAGTACTCTATCATCAACAACATGATTCAGAAGTAGGATCACAGTATCACAATGGATTTATTCGTCAACAAAATAATTTCCAAAGTATACCGGTTAACAATAACTATGACTCTCATAAAAACGATGTACAATATCCACCAATTAAGGATTTCGAAACACATACCACAACACAAGGACCTGTTAATAAAATACCCAATACTAGACTATATTCAGATTATTCGTCTAATATTTACTTAAATCCATCAGTACCGTATGGTAGTAATATAAACAAAAATTCATATTCTATTTTAGGAGGCGCAAATGGATACGATTCTCACAAAGTCAACGAACAATATCAACCTTTATATAACTTTGAAGCATACTCTACGACATCAAAACCCATTGTTAAATTACCTGAAATCCAAACTTACTCACAGTCAAATATTTATTTTGAACCTACTTCTAAACCATTTGAAGAATACTCGCATGAAATTTCTCGCTCAAGTTTTAATGAAGAACCAAAATCACAATATTCTAATACTGAATCACCAATCAATTATAAATATTCATCCCCATCTAATACTGACTTTAATAATTACCATATATCATCAACTTCACAAAAACCAATATTACATGACACTAGTTTGTATAAAGAACAGTTCAAGTCTCAATTTAATTTTGAAGATTATCTCTCAAGGATTTCAAGTGAGCAATATCCGTCAAGTACACCCATAGTTAATTACACACCGTCTATTCACGGGAACAACTATGCTCAAACTTCGTCTATTTACTCTACTACAACTCCCAAACCAACTATATTTTATTACAGCTCATCGCCAACCTTAAGTCCATACAAAGAAACATCTGATGCCCAATCATATTCAACATCATCAAATGTAAAATTATACACTGAAAATTATGATTCTTCAATATCTACTGAAAAAGCAACAAATTATAAATTACCAATTTCGTCAACTTATGATTCACATAACTATAATCCTACAGTTTCTCCAAGTGCACACACGCCTACATTCAAGCCAACGGTTGATTACTATAATCCATCATCAATAGTTTCTAATGATGATTCTATTTTCGTAGAACAACTTATTTCAAAATTATCAAAAGCTCCAATTTCCACTTCTTATTCGACAAGTACTCTTAAACCGTTATATAGTGATTATACACCGCAACCTGCTGCAGATTATATACCAAATGATTCCTTCAATATTGATGAATATATAGCAAATCTTTCTGAATCTATAGAAAATTCTACACCTAAACCGCTTTACTCTAGCACTTCTTATAAGCCCTCTGATGTACCATATAGTTCAAGTAGCTACGAATCGCAACCCATACCTACTACAGTTTTCTTATCATCGACTGAAAATCCAAAGACATTTAATCAAGAATCATATTCAGCACTTTCTGTTCAATCAACTACATGCAAACCTGAAGCTTCAATAAAAATATCAGCGCCGAAGATCCAATATGTACCGTCACTAGAATCTGTGTTTAGTGTAAAACCTCCTGTTACATACACACAAAAACCAGAACCGTTGGTTGGTTATTCGAGTACAGTCTCCAACCTACTAAATTACTATCATAGTGTGCATTCGTCTTTAGATTCAGCTTATCGTTCACCATTACCTAGATATTATTCTCCTCCGGTAGGAAGTTCACTTTACACAAATTATACTTTACCCAGAGAATATGAAAAAGACGCCGAGCATAATGTCCATGCAGCTTATCCAGCTTATCCTCTCAAACCAATAATTGTAGAACCAGTTAGTCCTGAATTGAATGCAGAATTTGAACGATATTATACAGCAGGAATAAGAAATAACTTGAGGAGTGAAGATAATGGAAAAGTGCTTGTAGTTGGTGACACCAATCCGCTACTGGTTGGAAAACTAGGAGCTCAATGTGACTGTGCAAAAAAGAAGAAACCTGTAATTGTGTCAACTACGACCAGGACTGTAATCGAAAGCGATGAAGATGAAGAAGATGAAAAAACATTAGCTGTAAAAGAAGTAGAAACAAAGACAAAAGTTATATTAGAAGAAGTAAAGAAACCTTCAAATAAAAAGTTATGTACCCGTCCGGGACTGTTTAGGGATCCAAAACAATGTAATAAATTCTACTCGTGTAATTGGGACAAATGGACACAAAAATATGAACTTAGCGAATTCAAATGTCCAATACACCTTTCATTTGACGAAAACTTAAGTGCCTGTAACTGGCCATCTAAAGGACCGGCGTGCTCACATGATAAACTCATTAATTACACCAATTAATTTTTTAATTTTTTATGTATATAACAATTTTGTGTACTTACTTCTTATGAAATGTATTTAAATCAAACAAATAAAATATTTAACATATATTTTTGTATGAAACACGTTTCAGTGTCTTCAAAAATCAAAATATTATTGGTATTAACTTGTAGAAAGTAAGATAGTATTTCTCACAAATGATGTAAAAACATATGTATTCTATTGTATATAAATTATAAACTTAAGGGATTTGAGTTCTATCCAACATGTTATAAAAAAATAAAAATAAATATATATTGGTGTTTTACGTTATCATAAAAAAATAAATGTTATTCAAATGTTTGAAAATATGTATTTATAGGTAGGTACCGACGACCTACTTACTTATTTTTAAAATAGATAATAAATACGAGTAATTTAAATAAAATATTATACCACAAAACTATGCATATATTTATATTTTTTATTAAGTATTTAATATGATGCATTTCAAGTGATATTAACTACAAAATAAATTAAAATTATTTATGGTTTTTCGTCGAAAATTGTTCTGGAACCTTGAAGTTTCTACAATTTAAATCCGATAATATAGTTCACAAAATGCAATAAGACTTCCATCAAAATTTTAGCCACAAAGTACCTACCAAATAATAACTATGTAAAAAACCAGCAAAATTAAAATAAACTCAAAAATAGCTCAAATGTTTTGAACATTTTATCACACCTAAAAAAGGCAAATATAAATATTCTGACCAAATTTCAACTATCTACGAATATTTTTATCTGAAATAAAACAAAAAACAAAAAATTACATTTACATTTAAAAACAAAATAAATTCTAATGAAACAACATGGTTCAGTTTTGGATGGTTTATCATTATTTTCTAATTTTAATATCGATATAGAATTGCATATATCGTATATGTATGTATGTATGTATGTATATTGCCGATATGGTGTAACTTATTAAGAACTTTATTATAATTATTATTATTACTATTTATTTAAAACAAAATATTATATATAGATATAACATAATAAAATATATAATGAGATCCACTTAGCAAGCTTGTGCAATTTGTACAAACATTATTTCAATACATTTTTCTCTAATTTTAAACTATTTATAATTAAGATATTTAACACATTTAAATAATATAATATGATGACAAAGAAAATTACAATATAAGTGAATAAATAACAACTTGTTGGAGGTTGGAGCAGCCAATTTGTTAAATTTAGTTTAAATATAATACAATTCCTATAATTACATAATTCAGAAGGTTGGTTGTTGTAAATATTTGAACCAGTAAATTATAAAAAAGAAGATTAAGTGATATTTTTTTTAATAATGAACATTTGAGATAATCATATTATTCAATTTACCGCTGGTGATGAAATTATGGGAAATGGAAATAATAATAATAATTTTAAAAAAATAATTTCTTTTTTGCAATATATAAGAAAATAACATTTATTTAACTCGTTAAATATAACTAATTATACAATTATAAATTTATATTTTCAAAAAATTTACTGCACAGAGTGTTTGCATTTTAAATTTAGAGTGAACGAGGAATATATTGGTTTTACTAAAATGCTTATTTTATATTGTATACAAAAATTTATGACAATATAATAGGTGTATTCAAATATTTCCGAGACTGTTTGAATTGTGCCCTGAGAGCAGTAAAATTGATATCACTGCGTGCTGACTTCTAAATACATCTGTTTTTGTAGATCCTTTAAACATTCTTTTTTTTGATGTCATAGATGTTCTTGTAAAATATTGTTTTTGCATTTGACGATTTAGTAATAAATCCAAAAGAAGAGGTTTTGGAGGGAGGGGTCATATGACCTTCTAAACTACCATTATATACTTTTATACATAAACATCCTAAATAAATATGTTGACGTTCGTTCCAACAGTGTTTCGTCATCTCAAAATTTTAAAGTAAATAATCCACTTTGTTCATAAGTTGTAGCAACGTTACAATAGGCCCTGTTGATTTTTTACAAGTATTAACAGTTTATTGCAGATATAATACAAATGTATTATTCCTTTTTATATAAATATTTTACATTATGAAATTTTATATGAGCAAATTCTAGGCCCGTATAATCTTCATTTATTGATATTATTTCAGAACCCCACTATAAAATCATCAGAGAGATATTTAATTTATTACATTTGTTCAATTCAATTTTACAATTTGTAAACTTGAACATTTTGATAACGTGAATCAAATTGAATGGTAAATTAGATCAAATATGCAAAATATATAGGGGAAACTACAAATTCGCAATGAACAATCTGAATGATTTTTTGCGGCAGACTTATGAATCTACTAGATAAAGAAAAATACAAAAGATGGTAATCAGCAATGGAAGAGCTTGATTGAACACACTCAATGAACCAGACCAAAAAATTTGTGATTGGATTAAGAATGATATGAGGTTAGCAGATGGCCAATTCCAAATATAAATACCTACTTAATTTACAAATTAAGATGTTTAAATTAATTAGGCATTTAAGAAATATAAATTTTCAAATTCTTTCAAAATTATGTAAGCAATTAAAGTTTATTATTTTAAATATATTGAGACACTAGGAATTTGGCATGCTCACAGGCTTTCTTAACTTTTATGTGAAATAAACATCTTTTTTAGGCACTCATACTGTATTATACTCTTGAACCAAAAGTGGAAAATGTCTCTAGTTTTTAATTTTTCTATTTTGTCTATTTACTTGATTATACTATATATTATAGCTGACAGATAATAATTACAATTTTAAAAAAATATTTAAGTATTTATCTTAATTTGTCAGAAGAATTTAAATTACTTGAATAAAAAAATAAACAATTGAAAATGGCAATAATATCACAGATTGTTCTACTATTCAAGACCAAGTATACAAGTTTCAATAACCATGAAATATGTTATAGATGCCTATGATGAATTATTTATATCAATTTAACGTCTATTCAATACATTAAATGATTCAGAAAAGCGCAAAATATTGAATCCTGTTTTAAATGGTGGTGTTGTAAATTCAGAGTCTAAATGGTAAGAACATTATAACTAAATAAATTTTTTTAAATACATAATATTTTATAACATGATCTAATAACCTAAAATAAATAAGTGATCAAAAGATTTGTCCAAAACATTCACATTGAATTAATTACAAAATGTACACAATTAAAAACAAAAAAAGTGTAAACAAGCTAAACTTATTGAAAATCATACATTAATATTTACGAGTTCATAAACATATATGAAAATATTACATACACATATTACATCAAGTAAAATCATTCATATCAACAATATTAACAATTATTATTAAAAAAAAAAAAAAAAGAATTGCACTTTTGCTAACATTATATCTGTGAAGATGACAAATAACATAATAAAAGAGTTTATAAGAAAATACAACCCACATAAAAATAAAAACATCTAAAATCTAGGACAAAAAATATTTATATTAAACAAATAAAACAAAAACTTAAAACATTTTGTAATATTGTTTACAATACTAATATATTGACTAGGTTTAGAGTCATCGGTCACACAAAGATTATGACTTTAATTTTAAATGATTGAATTTTTAAAATGGTCAAAAGTAATATATTAAGTTTATAATTATTAAAGGTCTAAGCTATTATTTTGTATTATTCAACTTTTTTTTTCCTACAAATAGAAAAATCCCAAAAATGTTGTATTAAAGAAATGTAGAAATTAAAACTGAGAACAAAAATCAATTGTTATAACAATACTTAAAAAACTTCTTCATTTTTATAAAGAAATTTCTATTAGGGTCAAAAAGAAATGACAAAAATATATATTTGTACATTAGTTTTTTTAAGTAAAACATATGTTTATACGTATATCATTAAACATCATACACATGCACATTTGTATTATATGTATGTAATACACATACTAAGTGTATATAATAATACACTATTATAAAACTTCATGTATGTGTTTATGACATTGTAATTATATTTAGTAGTAAATATATATATTTAAAAATACCGATATCATTACCCAACATTATTTATAATTTATTTGCTTAGGTCATCAAAGCACAGGTAATGTTGAAGTTGTTCTCATTGATCTGAATTAGTCATATTGTTAGAGTTCTCTTCTTTGATTTCGCCAACTGAGGCATTAATCATTTTGCTATCTTTTAATGAGATCAACTGCAACACTTGTTCGCCATTTTGCCCGGTGATGGCTACCAACTGATGTGGCACACTAATGGTTTCCACCTCACCGTTTGATGAATCCATTCCACCACCGGGCTCTGACTTCGGCATATGCATCACTGGCGTAACAACCTTAAAATAATTATTGTTTTAAATTGATGTATTTTTACCTAATTTATGAAACTGTACCTGTATGCTACCATCACTAATTTGTTGAACTACAGTTTGGTACAATGATGTATTTACAGGTACTGTAATCATACTCGATACTGAAAATATCAATACATAATAAATGTAAAGGAGATAATTAATACAAAATAAAAATTATTCTCAAATTTATATTCATCTTTTTGCATAGTTTCTCCTCCCTTTCCTTTGCCTTCAATTTAACTATTTAGGGTTGACCACCCTCATTCTAAACATCTATTTGACCCGATTTCCCACCTCTCATGAATGACTATCCTCATAACATCCTCAATCGCATTGAACCACCTTTTTAAATTTTTCTCATATGCCCAAACAATCTCAATATATTTTCTCTAATTTTGTCTTCTATTGAAGCTATGTCTAAGCATAGCGTACCTCTAATGTACTAATTCCATACAAAGACGTGTTAAATCATCCCTTTTTTTTTGGGGGGGGGGGGGTATGAATCAGCTAATTAGTTTTATTTATCTATCACTTGCTGAAAGATAATCATAATTAATGATTTTTTTTTTTGGCAAGCCCATGCATAAAAAGGTGATTTGGGGGATATTGGCATCTTTTTTGGCGTATTTACTGTTATCAGTTTTATTAAATTAAAAATTTACTTCTGAAGTATAGAAGTGATCTTAAAATTATAATAAATTTATATTCTTGACTTTTAAACAATTATATTTGTGCATAATATAAAGTAATGTATTTAATAATATGTCATACTGAAAGACTACTATAATAGTGTTAACACATTTTATATTTATAAAGTTCATGCAAATATAATGCTATTTACTAATAATTTAAGAATTAAAGAACTAAAGAAGATCGTAATATAATATTATGTTATTATGTGGTCGATATTATGGGCTTATCATTAAGTTTGTATAATGTATATAAACAAAATATTTTTCAACCATGGTCTTCTGGTAACTGGTAAACATTTTTTTTATAAAACCATAAACAATTTTTTTTTAGTTTTTTCATTAAAAAATATGAAGATGCAATTTTAAACTTCTTTTTATCATTATATTACACCTGTATAAAATCAAGTCTAAAATACTAAATAGTTAGATAAATACATATCCAGGAGAGGTGATCATCCCTATTGCCTCCCTCTCTAAAATATACCTCTAATCCCTTATACTATCTTCTCTCGTCACTTCATTCATCCACATAATCATTCTCATCTCTAATATACTCATTTTGTGTTCTATTTTAACACCGGATACTTCTTTTTGCTTCATCTGACCATTTTTAATTCTATGTTTCACATCATAATGAAAGCCATTGTTCTTTTGTTTAAAAGATCCTAGATTGTTCAAACTCTTAATCTCACCTGTTGTCCCACCATATTTTTCAATTTATGTGAATATAATTTGTTGGTATGAATATTTAACACCCAAGTTTATATAAATTATATTTAATAGTAAAAAATAAAAGTTTTCTTCCAATCAAGAATATTTTAGGTGGGATTTGGTAAAAAATGGTATCTAAATTGTGACCCATGAGAAAGCATGGAATTGGTCGGTTCTGTGTATACACACCGTTGTCGGTGATGAAATTTGACTACATAGAGCGGATACAATGGTTCAGTCGGTCGGCGAACTATATAATTGAATATTAATTGGTGAATATAATTGGTGAATTAAACTAGTTTTTTTTTTCTTTATTTACATTTTACTTTTCTTAATAATGGGAGTAAACCAGAAAAAAAAGGAATACTTGGAATAGTTTTTGTTAAATCATTTTATTTATGGTGTAATTCAGTAAACGATAACTATTCTCTAAAAAAAAAATTGATACTCTGAAATAATAAATGTCTTATCAAAGATTGATCAGCCTATATACATAGAATGTATCTCTTACATTATTTATCAAAATAAAACTAGGGTGAGCATGTTTTATTTTTATAGATTTAAATAGTTTCTATTTATATAGATTATAAACAAAAAAATTATTTTAGTTATATTTACCTTGTCCATCTTCACCAGTGATAATTATTTGGCCTTCTTGATTTAACGTGGCCTCAGGTACATTATTTAATATATCTACAGTTACACCATCTTGATTTTGGCCTTCACCAATGGTGTGAACAGAATGAACTGTATGACCATTTGCTCCTTGAGCAGCATTTATCTGCATAACAAAAAAATTGAAGATAAATATTAATTATTAAACAGTACATAAAAATATATAATTTATCAAAACAATACTTACAACTCCTTGCACATGTGCCTGCGTTCCATCTGGCAATGTTATAATTGGGTTATTTGGATCAACATGAAATATAGACATTGATCCATCAACATTACTAATAGAATGTAGGAACGCTGGTGAATACTGCACCTATCAAACATTTCCGTTGTAATGGTTTTAAATTTTGTTTTAAATATTTCAAATTATACCTGGGTGAGTTGTTGTTGTTCATGTGGATCTGGTGAATGTCTAGCTTCTATACTAGTTGCTTTGGGATTAAATTTAAGCACAGAAGTAACGATTGATTGACTTGCAACATTATTAATAATTGGTTTAGTTTCTTCTTCTTCATTAAATGTAGGCAGCAAATCTTCTCGACCGTGGTATTTATAACAGTTTATGACTATTTGCCGTAAAGCTCGAGTCCAAGAAATCTGATAATTAAATTAATAATAAATAAAACGCTTTAAAATTAATTCTTAAAAATACTTACTTTTTGTTTCTCATCTTCACACCGAGCATCCATCCTAACATTTGCCCATGGTAATTCTTTGGGCCACCAAGGTGGCCTAGTCGTTTCTCTACCCCAACCAGGTTTCCCTCTACCTGATAAATCAAAATAAAACTATTATAATATAAATTTCATTTGTATAAGTTCAAATTATGTTAATATTTGATTAATGGTAATTGTCATAAATTATTTTTAAATGAAAGTATATAGTTGTTAATTATTTTAAACCACAACAAGCAAGCAGTACTTTGAGTTGGTATAGAGTCAAAACTTATGTAACTGCAAGCATAATATTTATAGATATCTATTTAATATTTACATTATGAAATTGTTTACTAAGTATGATCTTTTAAGCATATTCAACCCACTTTTATGATTAAATTATGCACAAATTCAAATTCTGATTTTCAAAAAATTGTTAAGAATATTTAAAATAAAATAACTGAGAAACTTTTCATTCAAATTTTAATTACAATATGTAAACATTACAAGAAAAATCATCCGATTGACAGTTTGCATTAAAACATGTAGATTCTCATTTGAAAAACCAAAGTCAGAATTGCCACAGGACACTCCTTAAATATTGTGAAAAATCTAAGTAGGTATGCGAAAATATAATTTATTACTACACTAAAAAAATCCAAATATCGTAATTTGAATTTTTCTAGTTTAATCATAAAAAATGGGTGAGCATAATTTATTCAAATGTAGGTATGAATAATTTGAAAACCTAATACTACTAAAAATAGTAAAAATACTGTATTGTATTTATAATGTATACTTTGATTAAATTATATCTTACCTGTGGAATATTTTAACATTAGAGGTATAAAAGCTCTTAATTGAGCTTGGGTCATTTTTTCAACAGGAGTTGGAATTCCATCTAAAATTAGAGGTGGTAGCTCGTAAAGAGTAGGATCATCTGGAATAGGTGGAGGTGCATGTTGTGCTAATGCAGTGTCAAGTTGGTCCATAATTGTAACACGCAAATTTTTTACCTTCAAACATAAATTATTCAGTTTTAGATTTAAATTGAATAAATATGTAATTTAAGTGATTACTTACAACGTCTTCTAAAGGTTTTGCACCAAAACATTTGAAACCGGTTGTTTCCTTACCAGGTGTTGCTACTAAGACTATTGCTTGTTGACCAACTCTTGTAGCAAATTCATCTATGGTAATCTTAAATGCAATATTCAAATAACATTAATATAACTATATTTAGTTTTAAAATTAAAACCTCACTTTAAGTTTGCGTAGTAACCGATTATGCTGTCTTTTACGAATGGATGGATTTGTCTCAAATGAATGTGGTCTCTTTCGTTTTTTCGATGACACAATTGCAGCAGCAGCAGCCATACCAACCGGTCCTGATCGACACAAACCATAACAAAGACCCCTATTGTTCGACGATCCGCTATTGCGTTTTTCTACCAGCCAAACACAAACACACACACGCAAAAAAAAAAAAAAATAGTGCAAAAAAAAATAAAGACAAAAAACATGCATAATAAAAATATAAGTGAACCACTTTTATACTTAAAACTTTAAATAAGTGTTTAAACAGTATATAAAATAATAAAAATAATAAAAGTTTATATTTATTATTTTCATAATTTCATATAAAATATTGTAATATTAAACAAAGCTGTGAAAAAAAAAAAATGTGCGCCATTACAAAAAAAATATAGAACATTTAGCTAACCTGCTGCAGCTAGTTGTGCTGTCACATCATCTCCCATAGCTGCAGACATCAAATCATTTTGACTTTGATTGGAGTCTCCATCACAATCTTCAGATGATAAACCATCATCATCTAGATCGCTGTCTCCAGTCATGTGAATGTCATTTCCACTACGATCCATCATTGTAATGCTTTGATTTACAAACTAAATACCTATTTATTAATAATGTATCATATAATAAGTAAATTTAAATTAAAAATTAAATATTTGAATATCTTACAATATTAGTATAATTCAGTAAAAAATTTAGTTTTCACAATTCTAATTTTCAATGGAATTTGATTTCCAAATAATATCTTCAATGAATAGTCTAAAACACAAAAACAAATATAGGGAGGTATATAATATAATGTTAACCAAGTAATATTTTATCATAAACAATTTAATGTATCACTTTATAACATGCATATCATAATTGTAACAGTAATCAACACTATTCAAATTAAAGAATTAATCGTAAACTTAACAAATATTTACCAAGTATGTTAAACGTATTGGCACAGCACAGCTAATTTAACCAACTCTCAAAAGGAATCATAACATTTTCTCAAACTTTAAATATTGAATATTTTTTAAACGAAGATATTTTTTTTTTTTTTTTTAGTGATTTAACACAAAATGATTGAATTTTTACGAATTTCATCTTTAATTAATTTTATAACAATTATTAAAAATCATCCTTTTAATAGGTAGGTATTATTAACATCTTTTAGAATATCTTAATATCGAAATTGTGTATATAGATAGCAATATACAAAAACGTTCAGAACATAGTACGTTAAACTTGAACCACAAAACAATAAATATAATGAAAAATGAATAACACAATATACATTACTAATGTGTGATTAATTTTATGAAATAATTATGATAATACCTAAGTAGTAAATAATCATGATTTTTTTAGAAATAATTATATTACATAAGTATGAAACTACAAAACGAAATGTTAAATAAATCTATAACTCTTTAAAAATATATTTTTTAAATATCTGAATATTATTATATTACTCAATATCTGATAACATCAATTGTTTAACAGATTGTATTTTATCTGTATTATTCTTATCTACAATAATCTAGCAGTATTAACTTCAAATAACAGTACTACAATATTATTATAAATGATAATAAATTTAACTCGACATAAAATAAATAATAATAAAACAGATACACCTCAAAAAAAAAAAAAACAATTGAAACTTTTCATTATTTCAATAAACCATGCATGAGATACCTACATATTTAATAAAATTATCAAGAATAGATAATAACTAATGTAACCAGCTGATCTATGCAACAATAAAAACCGAATAAAAAGTAAATGCATGATAGTAGTAAATTACCATTAATTCAAACTAAACCAATTAGATAGAATGATTGACCAATTATTCATCAAATTATAAAATAAATAAGTAGGTTTAAACAAAAAGGGAACAACAACTACTACTACTACTACTACTACTACTACTATTTTGCTATCACTCAATACTATATTCGGAAAACAATTGAAATTCATAAATGTAAAAAAAATACTTTTAAATGATTAATATATTCTAACATTTCATCATAAAACATTTACAAAAGTAAAAATTAAAATAGGTATAGAAGAAAATATTTTATAGAGATGCATTTATTATTGAAATATTGATGATACTTGTCTAATATTTCAATAGCAGTAAATAAAGATAATACTAATAAGTAATTGATGAGGCAATTTATTTTTACTTTTCAATCAACAAAACGACCCGAAGTTTTTATAATATTGAGAGAATAATTTTGAAAAAAAATACATGTATAGACAATTTAAAGGTTTCATAATCATTAATCAAATAAAGCGAATTTACAAACGATAAAATATAATATTTATTCTCGAAATACAGATATATTCGTCGATCGTACACGTACGTGTTTCGAACGCAATTGTGTACATATTTTTTACTCGTGGGGAATGTAAACGAGCGTGCGTTGTGTGCGAATATTAACGTTGTGTGTGAGAATTGCCGAGATAACGCGGACCGCTGCAAGTGATAGCGGCAGGACAAAGGAAAAACGGGACATAGACATAGAAGATACGTCATTAAAATACTCGACGGCATAATTAATACTATATTATAAAACTTCTGTTTGTCACAGACACTAATTCGATAACATTTTACCGGACGGGAACAATTAATACGATAACGTAAAAAGCACGAAAAAAAAAAAAAACTAGTAAAAATCTCGAAACGTAAATGATTAGTATTGAACGGGACCCGGACCGCACCGCTACGGTAATCTCGTTGTGTCGAAACACGCACAAGGGTCGGGTCCCGTTGAGAAGCTCTCGACGACAATAATATTAATTATAATCAAGACATTGCGACACAGTTACGGCTGCCGCGGTAAATCACGTAATCGTCCGTGTCGAAACGAATCGCTGACGTGCCGTCGCATTACTCGCCCAACGGCCACTACCCGCAAACACCTATACAATGCAACTGGTGCAACTGCGCTCTTCGGTGCTACTACCGAGGAATAATGAATGTACGCCGGTACGGCGCAAAGACCGGCGCGAGAAACGTGTGTCGTCGTTCAGACAGGGAAAAAAAAAAAAAAAAAAACTACGACAGGCGCAACTCCTAAGGCGCAGCTACCATTACGGCGGCGGCAGTGCCACGCGAGTATGTGGTGCCGCGTCGATTAGATTAAAATGCGCGCGCGGGCGTCGTCGGTAAATTGGTCTGAGCAGGCCCGGGGGGCTCGGCCGGCGCGTGGTGTCGGTGGCGTTCTATCAAAGTACGCCGGTCGCGGACACACACGGAGAAACCGCGGACAGCAGACGACACACGAATAATAGTAATAGTGTAGTAGTATTAGTAGTAGTATAGTTGTTGCTGCTGTAGTAGTAGTAGTAGTAGTAGTAGTAGTAGTAGTAGTGTGGTAGTAGTAGTAGACAACCGCCGTAGTGGCGTAGTAGTGTAATAATAATAATAATAACATGAGTACGGCTGCGTACGCACCTGCGTGACGGGAGAACGGCGTCGGCGGCGGCGTCGGCGACCACAGCGTCGGCGGCATCAGTACCCGCGGTGGAAGCCATCGGCGCACGAAACACAGTAACCTCGGCGTCCGCGGCAACAGCAGCGACGGCCCGGTGATTTTATTTTTTCTCACGCGGTTTCCGACGACTACTCGCCACTATTATATTCGCGGCAATTACTCAGACAACGGCGGCTGCACTCGAACGCATCACACGGTCAGACGACAGCGCACGGCGGCGTCTACCTTTATCGGCCCACGACGGCAAACCCCGGGATTGCGATACGTGTACGTAACGCGCGCACCGTTAAAAACCCGACACCGTGTGTTGGATACACGCACACGGCGCTCGTCGTTATTGTTGTTGTCGCTGGCAGCGCGCGTTATTATCGATCGGCCCCTGCCGGGCGGCCGCCGATCAATGTCGTCGCCATTTTGTCCGTTCCCGTACGCGGCTGGCGGACTGCAGTCGATCGCGGTGACTGGCGGCCCTTCCCGCGCGACAATAACAATATTATTATTACCGACTACCAAGCCAAGTGTTGTTCGCCACAAGTGTATAGCGCCCAAAGTATGCACACTCGTGTCATAGGTACGATATGATAATTATACGTAATCGGCGAGCGTTACGATCGTGTTATAATATTACAGTCGTACAACATGTCAACATACCATCATAATATAGTACCTATGGCTACAATTATATGATGATGACATTACGCGTATATTATAGTGTATACGCGTTTACAGTAATATCATAACACATTCTCGAGTTGTTGTGGTGCGTGCTCGACGATAACAGCGTCCGTTGTGTTGTTGTTGTCTTTTCTCATGAATATACGCGTCTGCGCACCGACCCGTTTCCGTCACTTAGCGGTACTTCGCCGTCCGGGCGACACGTAGCGCCCCGCGAAACACCGTCTCGGCACCAGTACTAACTACACTAGTACGACCGTGTCGTTCGCCCGAAAATCGTCCGTTCGATCGGTTACTGTTTTCCGTGCACAGATTGTCAAAGCCATTAACCGTTCAAGATAGCGCGCGCGTCAGTCGGCCGTGTGCATAGATAAGTGGTCCCGTACGTTTCGGTGGTTACTAGTTTTGCGCGCGTCATCTACGGCCTAACGTACGCCGTCCAAACCATTTTGTATCACGCCGTTCGCCATTGGTGCGCATGCGGCCCGCCATCTACCGGTTCCCGGTACGCAGATTTTACCCGCCAAATTTCGAAACGACATTCCTGTGTTTAACAACACTACTCATGGTTTTATGAAAAAATTACAAATGACTATATCGAAAAAACATAATCGCAATTTAATTAGACTTTTGACTATTCTTATTGATTTCCATATACGGAAATATAACTGTTAATCATTATTCATTATGTTATTATTTATTACATAATTATTTGAAGAAATTTGTTTGAAATAATGTGGAACGTGGTCACATTATTGTATAGGTGTTTTTTTTAGTTAAATGATAATTATGTTTAGCAGTCCATGACATAGATAAAATAATGAATTCTTTACTTGATATTTTCAAAATCGTATTTTTAATATTTATAATACATATTATTCTTAGAAGTTGTAATAGATTTGAATGCAATATAATTTTATAGTAAAACGTCAATTAGATACATGGTACTGAATTCATTGAATCATATTGGTGTTATAAGTGATAGGTGATTATAAATAAAAATACTCAAAAAGCCAAAAAAGTTTTGTACTTATGAATTTAATAACCTAGCTGGTATTCTATAATTTGTATTCATCTTCAACTGTTTAACACTAAATGAATTTTTGAATCAAAAAATATAATTTTTATATATAATATATAATACTTGTGTATTAATTTCATAACAACTAATAAGTATGTATTTTATTTATATTGTTACATATTTTGAGTTTTGACTTTTACAATCAATATTATTATTTTAACGACTAGTTAAATACATTTTATTTTCATTAAATAAAATAAAGTTACTGGTTAGCTAAAACTAAACACACCGGGTTTTATCTCGGCTTTAATTTATTACATAATTATAATAAAAATGTTATACATAATGTAATATATTTTTAATTTACTTTACAAATCACAGTATCTATACAATTTTTTTTTTTAAACTTAACATTATAAATTTCACATTGGTTATAAAATCAATGCCATCGGTGTTGATTCTTGGGCACTTCATCATAATCATAATCATCCATATCGTCATCATCATCTTCATAAGAATGTAGATATTCTGATCTAGGATTATCTTGTTTTGGCTTAAATATTTCTAAATTAAAAATTGAATCAGTCACAAATGGTTTACAATTCAATTAAAAGTTAAACTATTAATGTACTTTTCTGACAAAATTTTCCAAACCATCCTTGTTGACATCGGCAGGTTTTGTTTACAGTACAATATCCATGACGGCATGGTCGTTTACAATTATAATATTGTTTTATAGGTTGACCAATTTCACAATGATCTCCTTGAAATCCAAAAACACAGCGACATTTGTTTACTCCTTTACATTTTCCACCATTTAAACATGGTATAATACATTTCGCTAAAAATTTAAATTATCTATAGGAAAAAAACAATGTTCAAATAAGATAAACTTACAGTATTCACACCGTAAACCATAAAAACCCTTTGGACACTGGCATGTGTCTTTTTGTATACATTTTCCATGATTTAAACATTTTTCTCCACAAATACCTGTAAAAAGTACAATATTTAATATTTTATAAATATCTTCTCATTTATTTATTTTTTTTATATGTGTGTAGACTAGAAAATAAAAGTTATGATTCAGAAAAAAATCATGTTTTCAAAAATGATTTGTCAACGAGGTTTACATGGTGCTAATAAAAAGTTAGATAGTCTCATAAGAGTCAATCATGCTGGGGAACTTGGAGCTGATCGTATATATGCTGGACAGATGGCTGTATTAGGTGCGTTAAAAACATTTCTAAGCTATCTTAATTAAGCTTAATGTTGAAAAGGTTTCTTTCATTTATAGGAAATTCTAGTGTGGGCCCTAAGATTAAAGAAATGTGGGAACAAGAAAAAGTACATAGATCTAAGTTCGAAGAACTTATAAGACAACGTAGAGCACGGCCATCATTGCTATTTCCTTTATGGCATTGTGCCGGTTATATTCTCGGAGCTGGTAAATGTTATTTAAATTATTGAATTAAAAATAAAATAGTTTGTAAAAATTGATATATATATATAATATATTATAGGTACAGCACTTATGGGTCCTAAAGCTGCTATGGCTTGCACTGTTGCTGTTGAGACAGTTATTGTAGACCACTACAATGACCAACTTCGTAACTTAATGGAAGACCCAGAAGCTGACAAGGAACTTCTTGAAACCATTAAAAAGTTTAGAGATGAAGAACAAGAACATCATGACTGTGGTATTGAACATGGAGCTGAACAAGCTCCGTTTTACAGTGCATTAACACAAGTTATTAAGGGTGGATGTAAAGTAGCCATAGAGGTGGCAAAAAGAGTGTAAAAACTCTTAGGGTGAAAATATAATAAAATATAGACTATAGTTTTTATTAATATTGTTAATTGTTATTAACTAATTTCTAAAGCTTATATTTTTTTAATAGAATAAATGTAAACATTTTGTTAAAACTACCTCCTTCACAATGTGGCCCTTGAAATCCTAATGGACACCGACAGACACCTGGTGCAACACACGTCCCATTATTCATACATTGTGGATAGCACAAAGCTGTTTTGCAGTATTGCCCCATATATCCTTCAGGACACTGGCATATTTTATCTGCATTACACCAACCATTGTTCTCACATTTTTTATCGCATTCTAAGTCTGGACCTTTCATAATAATATTTATACAAATTATTTTACACTAAAAAATCATCAGTTAAACATTTTTTCCCAAAAACCTTTTGACTGTTTAAAAAATAAATTGCCAATTTATTTAGCTAATCAATTTTTATAAATTCAATATTACAAACTATTTATTTATTAATTTAATAGTCTAGATTAAAAACGTTTAGTTATAGTTATAGTACCTACACAAATTATAATAACAACATACATAATAAGTTGGGCAAATTGAATGTATAAAAACTAATCTAACTCAATAGACTCATTAATTAAATGCATCATGCAGTAGGTATAAAATGTGATTGCATTCATAATAATGAAGTATGAAAAGCAAACGAAATGGCTAGAAGTTTGAAAGTTAATTTTAGAAAGCAAGGATAAAGTGGTAAAAATGATATACAGTTAATGACTTAAAAAGTTTGTATCTGTACCAACTCTTCAATCTGATCACATGATTAATTTTAGGTAATTCAAATAGGAGTGTAATCCTGTAGAGCATATAAAATGTATAAGTAACCTTAGTTTGAAAATAAAGTAAATTATTTAATGCCTTAATGATTCTGTGAACTAAACATTGCAAAGATAAATTGTTAGGTATTCAAGGAGATATAAAAGCAAATTTGTAGTTTCCAAATCCCTTTCAATTAGTTTTGTCAAATAATTTTTTTTTTTTTTGACAAAATAATATAAAATGTTATTGTTTTAAAAACTATTTCTTCTGTGGCAAAATTGTTAGACATTTATATTGATTATTATATTAAACTATGATCCAGAAACTAATAACTACCTATTATATGCGTGCTAATTTTTTTTAATTTACCTACTATGGTAAACTATTTTATTACTACGGTTAAAATTATATTATTACAATATATTATATAATACTAGCATTTAATGGAAGTTAATAAAATTGGTTAAGTTTAAGTTTACTCGCGCACTATGGGTCCCAAACTATTTTTGCGTTTATAAATTACTTACAACTTTCTTTTTATTGTATAATGAACTTTTTAGGATTTCTTGTTTAATTGGCTGTTATGAATAATATTATGTGTGAGTTTCAAGTTGTATTTCATTTAGAAGTTAGAAGCCTTTGACAAACGGGCGAAAAAAACAGACAGAGTTGCAACAATAAATGGGTTCCGTTAGACCATACGGTACGGAACCCTAAAAATGGATCATTAAGTGGGCTGTATGATTATTGATTGATTATATTATTAATTAAGGCGAAGCATTGTTTCTTACTTGTACTTTTACTTGTACCTCTAACCATACACTCTTTTCTGAGTTTCACTTTTAATGGTGTATCAGGCAGAGCACGACCTTTTCTGTTTTGTATCAATAACCGTATGCTGAAACTGGCTATACCCGAATTATTACCTGAACAAGGTAATAAAATGCTAAACACTGAAACCAATAATCATAATAATAATATTAGTAAAAGACATTTTTTTCTGTCTCTATGAGGATTATATACAGAATTAATAAAAAGTACATTTTTAGTTAATGTATTTATTGTAATTTTAAGAGGTTTGCCATACAAGTTCTTTTACCACTTACATACAATATGCATTAGGTAGGTACCTACTTTAAGCCAAAAAAATAAATACTAAGTGGGTAAGTACTTGATAAAACAAACAAAAAAAACTGTATACAAGACATAGATCTTATACCAAAGGTGAGTCTTATACTAAGTACCTATAAGATCTATGATACAAGACAAAAAATGCACAAAAGTAAACACTTATTATCAAATATTAATAAAGCAATAACAGTAAATTCATAACTGAAATAAAAAGCGTGTTCACTAATATATAAAAACAAAAAAACCAAAACGTATGAAGGGTGACCTATGTTTAGGTCATTAGAGGATGGAACTCTAATAACATCATAGCAATTTATAAAAAAAAAAAAACTGACAGAATACTTTGAAAACTTTAACTTACTCAATAGTAAAGATCCGGTAGAGATGTTTTTATGGACACGAACAATACAAGAAACTGAATCGCAGATTAACAAACTGAAGAACAACAAATCATTCGGGTTAGACGGAATTTAAAATAAAATCTTGAAAGCACAAAACGAAGAAACAATTACACACTAACATTAATGGAGCATGTTTGGGAAGATGAGAAGAACCACAGAATTGGGACTCGATATTAATCTGTTCAGTATACAAAAAAAAAATTCATATGACTAACAATTATAATGGCATTTTGGACAAGATCAAACCTCACACGGAAAAACTACTGGGGGATTTACAATGTGGTTTTTAAAGCAAATTTTTCAAAAGTTATGGGAATTCGATAAAAATCTGTGCGTATTATTCGTAGACTTTAAAAAGTTCTATGATTCGACTAATACACCTAGTCTGATTAATAAAATAAAATAAATTAATAAAACTAGTTGAAAATATCATAAAATATTGTGAAAACAGCAAATAGAGCTTAAAAACCGACCAGAGTAACAATGGAACTGAGGTAGAGAGATGCATTATCACCAATTATTTTTAACTTAGTATTAGAGAAACGAATGTCACGGTAGGTTTTTCATTTGGGCAAAAAACTGTTGTGCTTTTGGCTTATGCAGATGACATTGCCATTGTAGGGAATAATATAATAGAAGTTAAATCGTCATGAAGAAAACTCATAAAAACTGCGGAAAAAATTGGTTTTCAAATCAATGAAAATAAAACAGAATATCTAATAGTGAATAGAAAAGAGATTAATTACAAGTTTAGAAAATTACCGGATAAAAAAAGTAACTAATGGAAAAAATATAAAAGTTGATATTAGGCTCGTAAAAGGTAATAACTTTTTTTTTTATTTGGGACAATTACTAAGAGCTAAAGTGAAATCAAAGAAGTCCACGTATGCAACTTTAACATGGCCGATGGTGCTATACAGTTCAGAAACTTGGCCTCTCAGAAAAACAGAAGAAATAAGGTTAAAAGGTTTTGAAAAAAAAAATTCTAAGAAGGATTTTTGGACCGAGGAGTGAAGGAGTGAACCTACCTACGATATAATCAATAACTCCAGGAAGTTTTTCAACGCCCTAACATTACAAAAGAAATTTCAATTAGAAGATTAAGATGGGCAGGGCATGCATAGAGAAAACAGGGATGAATAATGAAGATCGTAATTGAGTACAATCCTGTATGAAAACAACTCACATGGTGACCTCGCTTAAGGTGGGAGAACATTGTGTAGCTGAAGATGTAGAAACTGGAATATAATGGTAGGAAACAGCGGAGAATAGAGATCGATGGACGATGGAGGAATATATATTTGGAAAGCTGATATTAAAGGCCTTGACTCCTAAAAAAAAAGTGAAGTATTGAAACATTTTTTTTCTTCAAAATTTAAATTAAAATCCTCTATCTAACACCCCTTAATTATTGAGTGTGTGGCATCATAATAAAGAAAACTAATGCCTATAACCTAATAATCTAACCAATGTTTATTATACATACATTTCTACTAAAATATATTAACTAGGGTAAAAGTAAGTATGGATATAAGTAAAAATATAATATAGTATATAACTATATAATTTGTAAAAATTATTAACATACTATAATTATTTATAATTAAATTATACCGAGGCAGGGACGGATTGTCTCAAATTTTCGAGATGGAAAAATTATTAAGTTTAAGGAGGGGAAGAGTAGTGAAGCACTAGTCAAACCCCGCGCGCTATATCGCTACACAAATGATGCTTAACTACTCCCCCTCCTGGCACCTACCTAAACTTAAAAGTAGAATAACTCGTCGACGGTTGAAGAAAATCAATAATTTCAACACCAAGATTTATTTAAATTAATACTCTATATATTTATAAAATGTTTAATATAGGTTTGAAAAACAAAAGTATAGGTAGTTAGTCGTTTCACCCTTAAATATTAAAGTGGCCAAATAATTTCACTAATGACAATGTAATATTTTACAGTTACTTGTGTTGGGAATTAATTAAAATAAAGAAAAACACGAAAGCTACTATAAGAATATTACTTATACTATTTATTTAAATCTGACATATCAAACGTGGGGAGCGACTCCGTACGACACGAAGCGTATATCGCAACTGACACCTGAGTCAGTAGCAATGACACTGATAAGAACAATAATAATAAAACTCGTTTCTCACATTGTCAAAAAATCAATACTTTACGAAATAACGAATGTTTTACATTAAATGAATCACTCTGGATATCTGTCTCGCATATTTTGTTCTATTTGATGGCGTTAACGGGTACATTAGATACATTTTTGATTTGATTCATTTTCTTAACTTCGAAAAACAAAAAAATTGTTACTATTATTTATTTTTTTTTCTGTGTACTTCAGTTTAAAATAATCGAAGAGACCTGATATCTATACAAGATATTTATATTAGCCCTTTCTAGATATGGTACAATTTCTAAAACATTATGACGTTTTTTGAATAATTACCGTTTTAGGAACCTATTTAACATTTTGGCGTTTGTTAAGTTTTTATTTGATTTTAAAGAGATACAATTTAATTGACTTTTTGAAAATATTTAAAAATTTGATACGAGTTTCATAATTGTTCTATAAATACCATACAAATATCGAAAACCCAAAATCGGAATTGTTATTGTGTAAGCGTTTAGAATTACAATCTTGATGAAAATCGTAAAAATCTTGGCATTTCGCTTATACGATGTATATATTATTTTCCGACTTATGTTGATAAATCTATTTTGGCGGCTTAAAAAGCTCAACAATTTGACAAGAAAACCCTCAGACAATAGTAGATTATTTTGTAATTATAAAATGAATACAATTTTTAATTTTTTATGTATATCAAACTTATTTAATCATATTTTGCTCAAAATTGTTTTTCATTAGAAATGGTTTATCGTTATTTGTTGCGTACCGATACTAACTGAATAAATACTCTATATATCCCATAGGTGCTTTCCAACTTCTTGGAACTCTTGTTTTGAGAATTGTACTGCATCTAAAAAGTGATAATATAAGTTTGTGAATTGGTAACAAAAAAGCCGATGTCAAAATTTGTATTAAAAATGTAACAAAATATGTATATAATACTCCTAATTGTGGATTTTACGTTAAATTATTCGAAATTTGAAATGTCGGAAAATTGTATTTTCCCAACTATTAGTATTTTTTTTTTTTTTTTTGACATTTACCTTACTTGCACCAATTCACAGGAATAGGTATTCGGTAAGAAAAGCTTCCTTAATAAACAGTGCGAAATCGCTCACGTTCAACTAAAAGTGAATATGTTTATGCCATTATAAATCTTTAATGAACGTATATTTGTAGCTCGTCCAGTAAAATTTTATCGTCTATTCGTATAGGTATATTTAATGAAACGAATGAAACATTCGTATTTTTTTCTGGTTTACCGAATAATTAAGTTCAATGTCAGTTATAAATCAACAGTGAGTGAAATGTGTTAATACCAATATAAGTATACTAATATAAATATAATATAGTACGTAATATGTGTACGAGGAATAGGAATCCTCGTATAGGAAAATCAATGCAACGTCTGTGTGAAACGCTCCTATCAGCTCAATTTTGTTAGGTTAATTCATGCCCATATAAATAACAATGCTTGTATTAATGTTTTATAATATTTTATAGTATACCTATGGTTTATCCACTGAATGTAACTTATACGATTATCGTACGAATTATAGGCAATATATATGCAATATACATACTATTAAATAATAATAAAAATATAAAAATTAGTTATGCCGCAGTGATCTGTATATATGTAAAAATAAATATATTAAACGTTATTTAAAGATATATTAGGCAAGTACATTTTCAATACCTACCTAGTAATACCTATATTTTAGTCCATTAAAATCGTCTACTAGTTTATTAGTCTATGAATTTAAAACCTGAGAATAAATCACTGAATAAATTATTACCTACCTATTATTATTATCTATAAAAGTAGATCAATATTAGTTTAAAAATTAAAATCTTATGGGTTTTAACAATTTAACATTTATGAATTCTATTTTAGTTTAATAACTATATTTAAAAATTAAAATAGCTAAAAACCATTGTAATACATATTAGGTAGGTATGTCGAAAAAAGTGTTGATTCTAAATTAAACGATGGAGCTAATGTAAATAGGCATAGAAAATAAAATGTAATGAACAACGAACTAGATAATTCAAACTGACTGATACAAATGATCGGTCGAACATTGTCTATATATGATGTATGTAATATGTATATTCTATACGTATATGTTTATGTTTTTTATACGATAATTATAGACTATACGCAGTGAAAGACTCCGCGGAATCCTAAGCTGACAAACCGTCGTGTATAGCTCAAACTTTATACCAGCCTACCTATCTAAAACCAATATGGTTTGAGGGTTTAATATACTCGTTTAACATTATAACATGTGGTAGCAGCTGTTTTATTGTATATTTTTTAAAACTATATAAATAGAAGTAGTTATATTTAGTATCTATACAGAGATCGTATTTTACTATACTATCGTCTCCGGGCTTCATATGAACTTGTTCATATATTATATAGTTCATATTTCGTACACTATACAGACATACTTGAAGGTATATGTACACTGTATAGTCAATTTAAAAAATATCAAAATAATTAATTTTACCTTTAGGTCTCTTAGGTATTTTTCCTCTGGTCTTCACTGTCACCGTGGGTGGTTCCAGTATGTTCTTGTCGTCTGACTGTAGAATATCGAACGTGTAAAAATATTTCTTGTTTCCAGACATCCATGTAAAGTTTACGTAACCCACCTAAGTGTTTAAATTGTGTTAGCAAAATAACTATCGGTGCATAATAATTAAACCAGATTTCATCTGTTATATGAATGTCATCCTTTGGAGGACGTAGTAAGAGGGGACATGCCCCCTTGTAAAATATTAAATTCCACATGCAAAAAATTGTTTTTCTTGTGCCTTGACGTAAGGCGTACGACACACAATCTATATAGTTACTGACCACCCACCCTATCATGACTCTATTAAATTTGTTACAAAATTAAAACTTATCGTAATAACAGATGACATCTATTATATGTAATCGTAGAAGAACAAATTTCAATATAGTATAACCACCTATATTTGATTAAAAATACTTACTTCTGACGGAATAACTGGCAAGTACTGTTCAAAATTTTTGTCTAAAATATACGGCGTGACTTTACCTTCCATAATTGCATATATCGGCATTTTAAGACCTACAAATTATATTAGATACATTTTTATAATTCGGAAAAGTATTCATTTATGACTCAGAAGTCATATAATATATAATATGAAACAGTAATAATTTATATAAGTTAGAACTATTGGTAGGTACCTACATGAAAAATTGAGACTATAGATTAAAATTGGAGTATTAACTTTAAATTATAATGTTACGGAGATGGTAAATACGACATGGTTATAAATTAATATAATAATTATTATATGTTGTACATATTTTTGATTAGCTACGTTTTTTTAGCATAGTTTTTATTAGCTAAATTTTCTGCTAAAAGTGAGAAATCCAGCAAAACATATTTTCTGTACTTATGCTCAATGTGTTTATGCATTGCATTATATTAATATTAATGAAATCAAAAATATCAACAATGTTCTTAAACAATAATTTTAAATAATAATAGATATAATTAATGAGGTGGATCAACATAATTTTTAAGTACTTAACTTCTTATTAATTAACTATAGTTTATTATTTTATTAATTATTACAAATTTCTAGGTTTCTAATACCTATTTATTTTATACTTATCCGAGTAGATACCTATATTATATTTATGTTACGCATTCAACAAAAATTAAATAAATAATTCAGTATGGATATTTTATAATCTTAATATTTGTTTTAAATACATTTTCACCAGTTAATGTTTTAGTACTAGTGGTCATTTAGCTAAAATTTAACACTTTGATCTGTTAATTGACTGATTAATTGACGTTAGTCAATCCTAATATTGAAATAAAGTGCTATATAATAATACTCTTAGGTACCTATCATATAATAGTATATGTATCCTGCTTATATCTCGTATATATATATATATATATATATATATATATATATACTGCAGTAAGAAACAGACTCATGGATTATTTGATGACATTTATTTCTTTAATAAAATTATGAATATATTTTAGAATTTGAGCACATCAAAGAATGCATTGGTTTTACTATGTGTTATTTTTTATTTCCTTTTGATTTTGTGTTGATAAACATTATTATTATGATATAAAACTTAAAATATACAAAATTTTAACTTAATAAATATTATATAAACTATTATTTATAAATTCAGCTGTAAATTTACACATTAAATAAGTACATAAAATCAGTACTTGAATTAGGGTTTTTAATCGTTCTACGTTTAGGAGGATTGTTCTACATTTGTCTGATTAATCTTACATCCAACAATGTTTTAAACTTATATAGAATAATCCTACATTTAAAATTTCAATATATAGGCTTTAATAGGTTTAAGACTATAGTAAGTCTAAAAAAAAAAAAAAATTTTAATTGTTCATTATTATATCTTGTTTTAAGTTATCGTTTAACACTTATATGCCTACTGTAGTATGATCTAACGTACTAAATAATTATATACCTACTACTATATTTAAGCTTGTTACATATTTGTTAAATTTTCTAATTCTATTGACTATTATTTATATTTAAGATTTAATCATCGTGTGAAAAATCAAATGTTAATAGAATGTAAGCAATATATTATTAAACTTTGTAATTTATAAATATTTTAAATATGTACCTATTAATTTACTAACAATTTGCATATCTAATAAATTATAAGAATATTAGCTAAATTCTTTAATTCAAAAGAATAAATAAAGATAAGAAAAAAAGGTAAAAATAAAATGTAAAAGATTATTTGTTAAACGTACCTAGTATTATAACACCTATTTTTCTAGCATTCAATTTTTTATTGAACTACCTATCTATCATATAAAAAAATAAATGAAAAAATATATCTTACATTACACAATTTGAAAGTTAACAATCCTAACTTGAATTGGGGGGGGGGCAAGGGAAAGAGCGCCTCTTTTATTTTTTTTTGTATCATCTTACTAATTATTTCTACTGGGATGGGAGAGAGACGACGTTTGCCTGAGTAAATAATGATATTTTTCAAAAAATATTTATTATCCTATCGTTAACTCGAATAAATTATATATTTTCTATTCGAATTTATCGTCTAGTAATAAATTATTATCTTTTGTTTTTGTATGGCACATTTGCAACCAGGTATGATAAAATAAGTGATAACTTATAAGCACGATTAACGATAGCTGAGTTCTTTCGATTATTTAAAGTATAAAATTGTTACTAATTAATTATGTAGCTCTAATAATTTTATAATTAATAATGTTAATTTAGTTTGTCTAAAATGTGTGTATACTGTGGGTCGTGTTAAATGTAGTGGATTTTATTATTTTTTTTGACAAATTAGAGTTAGGTTGAAGTCAAGGGACATTAAATATTTTTGTCACATAGTCCCCTTTCTTTTATTTTTCCAATTCAAGCACTGTATAATATATTATATACTCGTATATAATATGTAAATGTATTCCTATTTCAGTAAAATATATTATGACCTTCAATACAAAACATCGACTGGCCTTATATTTATTTACCATAATATTATCTATAAATGTACTATAAAAAAAGTATATGTACTTATTATAGTAAGTTTGTTTAGTTAATACTTTAATAGGGTGTCTATATAATTCGACAGGAGTCCGAAAAATGTTGAGTAGATACATTGATAATGCATAATGAGAATAAGTGCATATTTTATAATACTATTTGTTCTTTGTCGGACACCCAGAGAGTTCAACGGCTCATAATCCGCTGTCAAATAATCTACATTAGAATAGTGTATTTCACTTTTTTTTTTTTTTTAGGTAATAGTTTTTCGAAAAATCTCCCATGCATGTTTGTTTATTTACTCAATACACCGTGCCAACAGCATATGGTCAGTTTAAAAAGAAATCGTATTAAAACGATTATTTGTTTTTAAGGCCAAGATATATAAGGTACACAAATTATACGTGAGTAAAAATTATTTTATACTCGTAAAATAAATACATTTGATTATTCCGATATAGTTTACTAAATATTATTAAAGATTTTTAAATTATTGATGACGCATATATTAGGTAATATTTTTTTTTATGTAAAGATATCATTTATAAGGGCAACGATTAATGGCTTACGGATCTAAATATTAAATACCTATGTGTAATATAATTAAATGTACATTTTTTTAAACATAACTGTTATTGCAGTTTAATACTTAGATCATTAATCGTTTGATAAACATAACGAAAATATTATTGACGTTAAAACTGTACCTACGTAAACAATTTAAACAAAAGATTGTAAAATAATCCATATAGGTAATTCACTTATAAAGAAACCTACCTACCTTTATGGGAAATAGTTTCAATTTTACCGAATTTAAGGATTAAGGAATAATAATTTATAATATGTTTAATGTTAATAATTTATTATATTACACAATTTTATTACAATCAACCATATTAAAATAATAATACCTATATACGTTTAAATAATTTTGTTTTTATCGAATATAATATATAAAGAGTTACATCTTAATCACGCGTATGGTGAATAATTAATAAATAACAAAAATATTTAATGTATTAATACTAATAATTATAATATAATATAATCGGAAATATGTATTTCTCCGTTTTCGTTCGTCTTTATTGTAAATAAAATGTGCATCCATAAAAAAGAACATTTATCGTTCAAATAAAAAAAATGAGAATTTCAATTCTTACTCTTAAACAAAAACTTATGTATTCAACATGACTATATTATTATATTTGTATTCACATTTCAAACGCGCGTCCTTGAACAATATTTATTGCTTATTGGTACTGCATATCATTAAAAAGTAGTAGTATAGGTACTAGGTAGGTACTGCAGTTTCTAAAAATAATACCTACCTACATCTAAATAGATTTATTCGAAGTTTCACAAAAAGAGCATTCAAAGTAATAATTATATTTTTAAGTATAGATTTTGTCAAAGTTATACAAATTGCATGCAAAGGTCATAATTGTATAATGTTATTAATACAGGTAGGTAATACTGAATATAGTGTGTTGATATATTTTTAAATTGAATTTTGATTATAACATTGTAATGATAATTATATGTTATGAAAAATAATGAGTTAAAGTTAAAATAATCCAATATTTTATCTGGTACCTAATAAGATTGTCAAAAATAATTTTTGTTGTTGGATAAGTAGATACACAACATTATTTAAATATTAGTTGTATGCCCGTCATACATGACAGGTTATAACGGTCATTGAAATTTTTAAAATGTTCAAAACATTTTTTACAGGCAAATTTGAATGAAATCAGACGTTTTAATTTATTGTTTACATTAAAAACAATCATTATTACGTACAAAAACTGGGCGCTGACTTATAAATGATGTTAAATGATTCTTTAATCATTTCATCAAGATCAACTGAAAATAATTTATTGTACGTCAAACACAATAAAATTTACTGCAACGACCAATGCTTGATGCGTATTTGCAATTTAAGAAATTGGGTGCACTATGACATATAGTTGTATTGTAGTCGTAATTATTACAAAGATTAAATTATAAGTATGTGGGATGTGGGTACGTCTATAGTTTTTTGGTTAACAGGATGTTATACCCGCATGTGTTGTCTCCGTCTTATTAACGTGCAACCTACTAAAATTACGTTACATAGAACGTGAATTGTGGCGTTTAAATAAAAATTATAATTTAATCACAAAACAAACAAAAATTAAAGAATTAATAATTTTTTAAAAAAAAGACTATTTGTAACTATTTTGTATAGACATTTTTTTTTTATAAAAAAAGCATATAGCAGATACATACAGCCCTCAAAATTAATATTCTCCTCTTTAAATTTTGTTATTTGTATTTAAATTTCGATTTGAACCTAAACTTTACAATTCACATTATTAATGTAACAAAAAAAAAAAAAAACGTTACAAACTGACGGATCTGGTATTTTTTATATTATAATAGTAGGGCTGTGAATTTTTTAGGAAAGTGCATTTTTTTTAACGTATTGTGAAACGTAGCTTTCTAACAATTTATATTATGTATTTAACAACAAATTCATTTATGAAACTTTTATTTTGTATTTTTCGACATTTTAAATTTTTTGTCATTTTTTGGATTTTTTAAGTCATATTTTCTTTTTTAATTAATTTTCAGGTATTTTTAATCAAATTCCATCAATTACACACATATTTTTTGTTTTACACAGGCTACGCGTATGTACGTCAAATTTATATTTTATAAAACAATATTTTATACAAGTTGTATACGGGTTAGGTAAAGATCAGGATTCGATAAAAATAAGGCAATATTGCAGAAAACTTATTCAATATTCGAATTCGAATTCGACATTTTATAATTTTTTTTTATTAAATAAATATAAGAATTAAATTAAAAACCATTTTTATTACATTTTTAGAGACTTTAAATGCACATTTTATTGCATTTTTTTTTTACATTTTTAAGGTTTTTTACTACCCTAATTATAAGATACACAACTACAGTTTTAGTATTCACTAAAACTGACAGATGAAAATTGGTTTCGCTGAACGCAAATTTACTATTTCGTATATTTGTAAAACGGCGACAACAAATAATGCATATATATTATTAAATTATTAATATATTACCTATCTTTTATTAAATTTAAAATTAAAACTGGGTAATAACTAGTCAAGAAGTTAATAGTTTTAAGTTAGATAGGAATTTTTCTTGTTAAGTTAAAAGCTAACTTAACTAGTTGAAAAAAATAGTATGTTAAAAAATACTTAATTGAAAAAACTTAGTTGTTTCTATTAATAAATAATTTTTCTTTACTTGGTTTTTTATTAAAATGGAAGAAAATTATGTATACCTACCAGTTTTTTGTATTTAATTTTTGGTGAAAATTACGTATTTTTACGTAAATTGTGAATATTATTCCTTTATGGCCATGGCGGTCTATATATAAGTTAAAATATCTGAGTACGAAATACATTTATGAGTTTTTAAAAAATAACTTTCAACTTAAGTTTATACTTTCCTAAAAACGTGTAACTTAACTTGTTTACCTACTCAAATTCATTTATATTTTAAAGTTAACATAAATTTAGCATTGTTATAATTATGATTTTTTTTTTTTTTAGGGTAACTCAAATTAAATTAGTTAAAACAATTGGTTAACTTGTCCAACTTTGATCAGTTATGAGATGGTAATATAATATTATAAAGTTAAACGCAAACATTTTCTATAGAATACGTATTATTACAGTGCGATAGTTTAAAACTGAAATTTCTTTGTTTTATTATCAATAATAAATAGACACAATTTCATTTAACTAATTTACAATTTATCTTTTCACACGGAGTACAACCAATAATAAAATAAACTTTTGTTTTCTCCTTGTCTCTTTACTTATTTTAAACGGGTTTTATCGATTGTATTAATGGCATAAAATAAAATGCACCTATTATTTATTATTTAGTATTTATAATTCGAACAACGACGATAATAAATTATACACTTGATTTTTTTTTTTTTTTTTTTAAACTGCACATACTTATATGAATATCAACGTTGTTAAAATAACGTATTATTATTATTATTGTTATGTAGCGACAAACATCGGCTACCCATATCAGGGTTTTATCGCGGTACTTTTTTTGGACGGGTTAGAATCAGTTTAGGGTTTGTTACAGCTGAAACGATACATTATACGACAATGCTGCAACGAAAAATGTTTTTAACGAAAAAATAATCAACGCTCACCGCTGTACATTTTCACTTGCTGCTCGTCGATCCACAGGGACAGGTTGTCTTTTTTCGTCTGTTGCTGCTGCTGCTTGTGCTTGAGCGTGCACACGACGGCGGCCGTAACGCACAGCGGCAACAAGTACCACGCCGCGGCCGGTAAACGCGCCATGCGGCGGCGGCGGCGGCGGGCGCTCGCGTATCGCTACCGATCGTATACGCAATACTTATAATATTTTTATAATAATAATAATAATAATACAATATTATTATTATTATTATTATTCGGATAGTATTGATAATGGCATTACGCGGTCCGCGTACTTGCGGACGACGACGGCGACTACCGTCGGGACGCTCGCGCGCGTCGGGGCGACGATTTGTGTCGCACACCAGCGGACACGGGCGGGGATAGGGTACGACAGTAATATTATAATCGTAAATTATTATTATTATTATATTATATAAACGCGATTACACGCTCGTTCGTTTCGCGGGTGGAAAAAATTCGAAAAATAGAAAAAAAAAAAAAGGGACCGTACATAAATGATCGGCCGTCACGACGAGAGGCCACAGTCAAAACAGGTGCTCGTGTTTGTTTTTCGTCCCTCTCTCGCTCTCTCTCTCTCTCTCACACACACACACACACACACTACCTCTCACTATATAGCTCTCTTATTTTTCCTTTTATCGCTCCGCGTCCGATCGTCGAGGGTGTTGGTAGGCGTATTATAATGGTATTATTGTACGGACGGTTAGGTACCCAAAACCCCGTCCGGTGCGCCGGTCAAGCGCTCGGCGCCAGCGTCCAGCGAGTCTCGGTTATTATATTGTTCTATGAACCTATGTGTCAATTAACATTTATAAATTGTCCTATTATATTGCGAGGCGGTGGTGTATTTCGCTCGCGGCAAGGTTTCGTCGGTGGTGGTGTGTGCGTGTGTACTCGCGCGCGCGCGCGTGTGCCCGAGGAGTGGTGCGAGCGCCGCGCCAACTGGTTTTCTCGCCTAACCTAACCCAACTGACCGGACTCGTGCGTCGGCGACGGCCGTCCGCCGGCCGCCGGCCGTCCGCCCGTCCGGCGGAACGTCTGCTCCTGCCCGCTGCCGACGACGACGACGCGCTCACATGATATTATTACACTGCCGGCTGTCGTTGCCGTCGCCGCCGCCTTTACGCTTGTGTTGCCGCCGACGCCGAGACGGCGGGCGGCGAGGGCGACGAGACCGGCCGGACCAGTTGGTACCCACCGCGGCCCGTCGGTTCGTATCGGTGCGCCCGCCGCCTCTGCCCTATACTAGTTTGTTTTTTTTTTTGTTTTTTTTTTTTCACACAGCACCGCCTGACACGGCCGCGCACGCTACACCCACGGCAGCCGTCGTCGGTACGACGACGTTTACGACGTGTTTTATTATACAATTAACGTGGTTATCCGATTATTGTGCATACAGGGCGTTCGTGATCGTAATAATATTGTATTATCGCAGACTCCGTCTCGTATCACGCGTCCAATATTGCGCGAAACGTTTATAAATATTGTAATATTGCCCATTTACCTATGTATATTATCTTATCGTGACAGAGTTCGTACGGTTGCGCAGTTATCCGTACAATAATTTATTATTATGATAATAGTATTATGTTAGATTTCGCCAAGACTAGAAGAGTCTAAAACTATACAGATATTGCGGACCGAAGAACGGTGAGTATAGGTAGTAGGTACCGGTGCCCATTATTTATCCGTGCAAACATTCACTACAGATAGAAAAAAAAAAAGTAACATAACAAACGGACGTACTTCATACGAAGGGTGAGCCAATGTTGTAGGTGAGAAGTTGGGAAGATAGAGAGGAAACGAATGTATATCTGTACCCAAAGATCAATCATTATTGATAACAAAAAACGATTCTGAGCGGATTTCGGTTATACATATTATATGAACGGCCGTAATATTATTTACTTTTTTCATTAACATTTGGTCATAAAACCGTTATAAAAAAAAATTAAAACACTTGACTAGACAGTGTATATTTTTTAACCACTAACCACAACTTAAAATGAACTTCCTGTTGTTAAGCATTTTTGTTTGGTGAAAAAATTATATTCACGTAGTACCTTTCGAATAAAAACTACGCAAACATAAAATTCCTATAAATAGCTCAAAATGGACAAAATATTTTGAAAATGTTACCACGTCTGTTACCACCTCTGTGTGCGGAAAACTGACGGCGAAATATAATATGTGATATCTGTTTTTATTCTCAAAAATTACTGCATAATGTAATAACTATAGATTTGATAGTATTTATATATATATATGTACATTGTGATTGTATAATATCAAATAGACTTTCTCGTTTTTCCTACGATTAGTTGGTACATTGAGTATGCTATTTTTTCTAAGGGATTTTCATAATAATTGAGAAAAATCGGAAAAAGTTATCGAAAAAGTGGACAGATATTTACGGCGTGCCACGACGTTGTCAATTTCATAATTGTAAGTTTTTCCTAAGGTTGGAATTGTTTAAAATAAAAAAACGTTATTAAACGAAAAAATTCAATAAAGAAAACAAAATAAAAAAGATCTGATACTGGGGACGATGTGACTACAGTTTTAGTTATCCAAACTTAAATTTGTGGTTCGGCACCGCGCATAGCATTTTAATATTGCACCACTAACAACCACATGCAACTATCCCCCGACCCAAATTTAATAGCGGAATATCTCATCAACGGAAATCAAAAATGTCAACACCAAAGTGTATTTTAACTAAAACTCCGACTATTTGTAGAGTTTTTTTTTTTATTATTATTGTAGATTGTCATTTGAAAATCAAAAATAGGTAGAAGGTATAGGTGGTTTTAATTAAAATATAAGGGCGACAAAAAATTATGTAAATTTAAAATTGCAGAATATGCCAAACTAAGATAGCATTTAACAAAAAAAGAGGACTTTTAACTTTAAAAAGTATTAGCGTACTCACCAGAATAAATCTTCTGATGACATACGTATGGAGTATAATGCTGTATGGCAGCGAAACGTGGACGATTGCCAAAGCAGAGCGGAGAAGGATAGAAGCTTTCGAGATGTGGTGTTTCAGAAGAATACTTAAAATAAGTTGGACGGACATGGTATCAAACGAGGAAGTATTAGAAAGAATGTCCGTGAGAAGAACTTTATGGAGTAGTATCAAGAAAAGAAGAAATGAATGGATTGGACATGTATTGAGACATGGTGGGTTGCTAGGATTAATCATAGAAGGCTGCGCGGAAGGAAAAAATGCTAGGGGAAGACCACGAATGGAATATATGCAACAAATAATAGAGGACCAAGGTTTTACGTAAGGTTACGTCTTATAAAGAGACAAAGAGGAAGGCAAGTAACAGGGAAGAGTGGAGAATTGCTACAAACCAATCTCAGGATTGAATACTGAAGAAGAAGAAAATTGTAGAGTTACTTGTTTCTCAAATGTTCTATGAAACAAATTCGGAAAAAAGTTAATACTTTCGGAAATAACGAGTGTACCCGTTTAATGGAACATTCTGTACATTTGATTGACTCAATTAATAGGTAATTCTGTTTTATAAAGTATGTTATATAATATATCATATAGCGACTGTCCATTTTTACAACGCAATAAGCGTCCTTTTTTAATTTCCATTTTTTTTTTAAAATTGTATTCTGTATTTATAAATACACATGGGTATACTAAAAAAGAAGCGTATTGAAATTAATTATAATGAAGTTTATGTTTTTTCAAATTTGATACGAATTAAATTCTGAAAGTGATTCTGGTTGGTAGAAGATATTACTAACATATCAAAAATTTTCCATTAAAAATGGCCAGCAAGCGTTCAAGTATAGTTTTCCGGGTAATTTTTAAAAACTAGGTATACTATGAAATAAAAACGATATATGTGGACGTATGCTAGGTAATTGGTTAGTATATATAATACGTATTCGTAATACGAAATGTATTGACTTTGGGTATGAAAAATACCATGTGACATTTTGTCAGCTCTCCGGCATACTTATAAGCAAAAAATCTCGTTAATCTGTTGGTATATAGCGACGTAGCATCGCTCTTTTGTATCAGCAATAGTTAACTTTACACTAAGAAACTATTTTCGAGAATAAGATGTTTTTCCAGGATGAAATATAGCCTATCCTTCTAATAAAATGACTGCTTGAGTCATATCATTATCGTCTATCCTTATGTAAAAAATCTTGTTCATTAGTCGTTGCGTACTCACGATAAATAAACACAGTAACATGAAAAGTAAAACGTGTCCAAAATGTCCAATATTGAGTATAAATTATTAGCTATAATTATAAATTACTTAACTATTTTAAGACGCTATAATCGTGTTACATTACACAACCTCGGTTCATTTAAATATCGCATAAGCATTATCGGAACACTTAATTTTTATGTGAGAGCACTCTAGTGAGGATAGCGGGTATATGCGAAGACGATGTGAAGGATTGGGTCAAGTAGAAGTTTAGGACGAATCTCAAATAGTTAAATGTTAAGATAAAGGAGAAGGAGAAGAAGAGGAAGGTAGGTAGGTACCTAAGGGACTATACAGAGTGTTCTACAATGTTTTCTGGATGTTAATAACTTTATTAATATTTAAAAATTGTTTTTTTTTCAATCGAATTTTCTGTCAGGGAGACATATATTAAGAAAAAAATTTAATTTTTTCTTTCACCACCTCTAAATCACTAGAAAAAATTAATTTGTATTTATTTACTTTTCAACAATTTCAATTTAATCGAGATTTGTAATAAGTATTATCATAAAAATTGTATTCTAACATGCTTATCCTACATATTAGATATCCGATTAATTGATTCTTAGTAATGACCGTTTTGATTTCTAAAGTGTAAAAAAATTACATTCAATAGACTACCATAATATATTACGCGATAAGAAATCACAATTGTAATACAGGTAAAAAAATTCACTGATAAATATTTTTAAAATAAGTGGGTTTTCATTTGTTTCTGTATATGAACTATTGCAAAATATATATATGTCAAAAATTTAAAGTGTTATAAATTAAAATATCTGTTATTAAGAGACTTGATTGGATTTTTAGAATAATATCATTTACAAAATGGTTACTTTGAAAAATGAAAAAATAAAAAGTTGGGTATTATTTTTTCAATGATAAAGGAGTGCAAAAATAAATTCAATTTGTTATTACATATGTAATGTCTCACTGACATAAAACCCGATTAACGAATAAATAAAAAGAAATTTTAAATATTAACAGAGTTATTAATAACTGGAAAACATGTTAAGACACTCTGTATAATAGATACCTGATATTATAGTAATATCTACCTGTCTACTTTTTAAGAAAATTGAAATTTTGTTATAAAATTCACTCTGTATACATTAGTCAAATTTTTTTTTTTTAATTTTTATTATGCCTACTTAGTATAAAGTGGTGATGATCATATTACGAAAACAATAATTATTGTTAACAACAGAACAAATATATAATAACCGCAATCGTGTGTTTATAATAAATAAATAGCAAGCTAACGTCAGAACCCAGATTAGGGGAGATAATTGTTTATATTATGAAAGTGAGTGAATTTCTTATTTTACTGTAGTTATTAATTAATAGTTTTATTAACTTTATTATAATGTCATTTTTGTTTATCAATTATGCATGCGAAAATAATTAAACTAGTAACTCTAGCCTACAATACACATTGAGAATCTAAATTAGATTTAAAATTATTTTGGTCCCAAGAAAGGTTCCAAGAAGCCAATTCTATGAAAAAAAAAAATGTTAATAAATTACGGAATCAATAGAATATTGATAATATTCTTAAATTATTCACCAAGCGCGCACACCCCATTTATTTGGTTAAATTTTGCATTTATTCAAATTCTGATTTTTGGAAATATTAAGTCTAATTAAAGTCCAACTTTAGTTTTCAAACGAGAACCTATTATAAAAAGAGCTGATACTGGGGATGGGTGCAGCCACTGTTTCGGGGAAGTTGGGAAAGTAGGATACATAAGGTTATTTCATTTATATCTGTAAGCAACGATAAACCATTGCTAACGAAAAACGAAAGTTCGGTAATACATAATTTAAAGTGTCGTAATTTTGTAGCAATTTTCATTTGAATTTGATTTTAAAACGTTTATTAAAAAAAATATGGTCTCTTGTCTGTTTTTATTTGGAGCTATATTTGTGCTAGAAAACGTAGTAAGTACTTATTTAAAATAACAAAATCGTGAAAAAATCGTAATATTTTTCTCGGTTAATCGATTTTATTTCAAATAACGTTTCGAAAATCAAAAAATGACATCAGTGGAAAAAGTAGAAAAATTAGCTTTCAGGAAAGTTGCTACAAGTAAAAATCGGAGCAAGTTTACTAGGAAAAAACGTGTCTACAGACTAGAACAAAGAAAAAAGAACAAAGAAGAAGAAGAAATAAACAGCATTGTAAAACCAATAGCTCTCTCGCTACGCTCGGAATCTAAAATTCTATAAAGGACGGGGTATTACTTTAAATACATTTTGGTGTCAACAGTTTTGATTTCCGTTACCCCATTAACGAGATATTCCACTTTTAAGTTTAGGTGGGGGGTGAGTAGAAGAGTATAATTTGTATGGCGGCGCGGCGCGCGGCGTTTTATTATTGTTCCACCACTTCCTTCAACTTAAACTTCAAAATGGAATATCTTGTTGACGGAAATCAAAAATTTTAAAACAAATATTTATTTAAAGTAAGTAATACTCCGTCCATTTATGGAATTTTAGATTCTGAGTGGAGCGAAGAATGTATTGATTGGTATTACAAAGATGTTTATTTTTTTTTATTTGAAGACAAGACGTGCCTGGTAAAACAACGTTATATTTTACAATAAAATACAATCGTGTGAATAAAATAAGTTAAATGAAATGTATTGATTAGTAGAACCCAGTAAATACATTATGTATATGTAAGGTATTTAGAAATAATATATAGATACTACCTACTACCGATTATATCTAATATTGATAATCACTTATTGCAATCATACTTATTACTTAGTACATAGGTAATGAAGTACCTAGATAAACGGATCATTACTGTCCAAGAGCTGCATGGTGTTACAGTTATGCCGTTTATAAATGCGTTTATTGAGATTAATTCACTAATCGAGTGTTGTCAATATGATTTACTTTCACGGAACAAACTGATTTAAAAAGGAAACTAATGGTATTTTAAAACACCATGTATTTGGGTATTTGGGATAACACGAAAAATTATAGGTACTAAGTAATCTTGGACATATTTTAGTATTATTTTGATATTATAAAAAAAAAATCAAAATAAAACGATGCTTAAGCACAAACGTAGCTAGAAATATTTTTCTGAGCAGGCTAGATAAAATAATATACATGTTTGAATAGGAATGATTACTAACACAAGTTTTTGGTTTTAAAATTGTGTTAATTTTCTGAGAAAAGTGGGTAGGCCCGGGCCTACCCGCAGGCTACGTAACTGTACTTAAGAAATATTTAATTGTACCTATTAATTAATATTTTACATAATTGGCAAGACAACAGAGACGATATACTTATGTTGATTTTATGAGCTTAATTAACATTTATCAGTCGAGAAAAAAAATTTGCGATATATTCTATATAGATAGGTTAATTTCTTTATAAAATATATAGATGCCTACAGACTATATCGTAAGTATTTTGAATTTTAATCGACGTAGTTATTTGTACAAAAGTTAAAAGTTTAACAATGTAAATTATTATATATGTATTGGCGTATTGCATTATTTTAAATGTTTCAGAATAATCTATATTGAACTACGTATTACGTATTTTATCAAAACGTTTACGATTCTGGGAATTATTGCGCAGATGATAATTGGCTTGTGTAGAAAAATTCTTATATAAACCTATTTTTAACACTGCAAAGAATGCAAAAATTAAAAAAAAAAAAGAAAAAAGATAATGTCCAAAATGATACGACGACAGGCTGAAAGAGATAAAACTTACCTACTTACACACGACAATAAAAAACGCTGAATAGTGAATACACAAACAATGCGACTATTCTTTATATTTCTGTGCTTACACAATATAATGTATAATAATATATACCTATATAAAAGTAAAAGACAATGTAAAAAAAAAAAACATGTTTAACAGGACGGCACCATATTTGGCTTTCGGAAACAGGTTTACGAGAATTTTCACCCCGAGATAAAATATACGTCTCGTACACTATAAGATCTCGTAAAATAATTACAAATGCGCTTCACAGCGTGTAGATAATATGACATCAGATAATAGCTATAATGTTATTATCTAAACCATACAATGATTTATATAATATATATAGAATATAGATGGAAACAGAATTTATTATAATTTAGCCATGATTTAAAGTTGAGAACAGTAGATACTTTTCACCAGACTGCCGAAGGAGTGTTAAGTACATATTTATATTGTGTTTTGCAGTGGCGTAGCCAGGTCACCAGGATTTTTTCCCAGAAGTGGGTGTTTTTATTTTGTGTTTAGATGTAATTTCATAACTTTATTGTGCATATGTAACACACGTAATATCATATACTCATAATATAATTGCGTTACAATCTATGCGTTACAGAACACATTTTGTAGAAAACTGCATAACTGTATGGTACAACTGTATGGTAAAAATTATAATTTTGGGCATAAATATAGTCAAAATGGAGTGTTTGAACATCAAAAAACCCCTTCCCCCCCTCGCTATGCCACTGGTGTTTTGTGACTAAAGATATCTTATATCACACATAGATATGTGTGTGTGTATGTATATAATATTATTTATTATTTCGTAAAGCCTAAACGGCTGAACGGATTTTAATAAATGAGGTTCGTTCTTATTTCGAGTGTCGAAGGCTAGGTGACATCTTAAAAAGATTAATTCGGGGGGCGCAAAATGATATGCTATATGTCTGTACTAGTAATAATTTATTACTAAAAAAAGCAGTAATATATTTTAACTAATGCTTACATATTCTTATTTTCTGGTTTTTTAAATTTGATGAGAAAATTCCTGATAAAATTGAAAAATTACCTGTTTAAAGAACCTCACCAGTCAGATTTCCTATTAGAAAAATTGCCATCATTATAAATTGGAGCAAAATTGCTAATAGAAAAGTTGTACATAGAAAAAAAATAATCGTAATATGTAGTAATATATTTCGTAAAATTTCACGTTTTTTTTCAGTTTATTACATTTGATGAGAAAACTCTTGAGAAGAAAAATGACTTCCATTTCATGACCGATTTCTTTACAAAAAAGGTACTACACATAAAAATCGTATTAAGATTTCTGTTACATACAGATAAATAAAAAAGAAAAAGAAAATAAACATCTTTGTAAAACCATAAGCTTCTTCGCTCCACTCAGAAATTAAAAAGAGCTAAAACCGAGGACGGCTATGGTCTCAGTTGTAAGTGGATAGTTGGGATACATTAAGTCATTTAATTTATGCTATTAATCAACGATCAATCATTGATAACGAAAAATGATTTGGAGCGAAGTTCGATTATACGTATATTGAAAGGCCATAATATACATGATTGTCGTCAAAATATGTTTTAATCTAATAAAAAAATACACATAACAAATTTTTTTTTTTTTAGACCACAGAGTACCTACTAAATAAAAATGAAAGTAAAAAACTCGCAAAATTAAAATGTCTATAAATTGCTCAAAACTTTTGAAAAAATTATTATGTATAAAATAAGGAAATAAAAGTTTTTTGTCACAATTTCAAGTCTCTATGAATATTTTTAAATGAATTATATTAAAAGAACCAAATTTAAAATAATAACAGAATTATTTACGTAAATTTTCCCGTAATTTCTACGTATTTTTTTTGGTTTTGCACAATTATTAAAAAAACTATAAAAAAAATAAATAAAAAAACAACTTTCTTGGTCACCATCTAGATTAAAAATTCAACAACAAAGACCCCTTGTTGTTTTTCCAAAGGAACAATATTTTTGGAAGAAAACATCACGTAAGCAAATTGAAACAATAAAAACGATTAAGTCGCGCACATAGCACGCTGTAACGTTATACCTAATTTATTCGTGTTTTTCCCAACTATTTCGAAAACCCCTCGGAAAATCAAAAAATTAACTACCTTACGCATCAACTACATACAATTACCTTACAGAAAACACACTTGATACTTCGGAATAAGTTTTCTGGTAGAAAATTAGTTATTATAAGTTTTTACAAAAAAAAATCCATCATAGTAAGACCAATTACATCATTAGATTGCGAATCTAAATAAAAAATAAAAAAAAAAACGTCATTATAAAACCAATACATTCCTCGTTCCGCTCAGAGTCTAAAATTATTAACTAATGATGAAAATCATTTAATTAACTTGTTTATGTTCGTTTTTATTTCTATCTGATAATAACTTATTATCTAGAAATTTGACACACGTTTCATCATAAATTCATACCATATTGCATTTTGTAGGGGGACAAGATTAAGCGTAGTGTACCTAGTAGTTTTATTTCTTTATTAAGTGCTAAAAGTTAAAACTTTGATGAAAATCGTAAAAATCAGGGCATTTTGCGTGCCTACTATAATCCGATTAATGAGAATAAAACTTTTAGATTCTGAGTGGAGCGAAAAAGCTTATGGTTTTACAAAGACGTTTATTATTTTTCTATGGACAATTTTTCTACTGGCAATTTTGCTCCAACTTGTAATGATAGCAATGTTTCTAAAAGGAAGTTTCAATGGTGAGGTACTTCAAAGAGATCGTTTATCGATTTCCTCCGGAATTTTCTCAGCAAATGTGAAAAGCTGATAAAAATCATGGAAAAACCGAGAAAAAAATAAAAAAACCGGGGAAATCGGTACAACATAAAACAAATATTATTAAAGAAAATATATAGACTATATTTAATTATTTTACTATAATATAGCATATATAGTATTTACAAAGCATCACTATCAACTGAACTCCGCTCAGAATCGTTTTTTCATAGGCAATGGTTTATCGCTGTTTACAGGTATACATTAAATTACCTATAACAGTGGCTGCACCAATCCCCATTATTCTAGGACGTTTTTTTTAATTTGGCTTCATAAAAATGCTCTTTTTTAGAAAAAAATATAATATAGACAATGATAGTCAATTACAATTATTGTAATTTAATTAAAAATATTGAATGTAAATTTATCAAAACATTGTTAACCGAATTTCACTCGGAATCGATGTAACCAGTCTTATCTAAAGATAGTTTTAGGAGGTTTATTTCCCTAGACATTTTTCAAAAAGTTTTGTTTATTAAGTTCAAGAAAAATTTTAATTTTGTTTATAACAAAAATAGTAGATGGTTTAGTTTAAAATCTTTTTCAAAATTTACGAAGTCAAAGTGCAATGCAGTGAAGTATTTATGGGGGAGATTAGGGCATACATATTCCCTCTTTGTTTATTGTCTATTATTTTCATGACTAGATATACCTATTTTTAAATCCTAATTTCATTACTTTTTAATCAGACAAAACAAAAATTGAATGAGTTGATACCTACCTATATAGTTAATATTTAAATAAAACTTAGACACACACACTATTTTGTTTTGTTTAATGGGCCCGGTGGCAATTTTTAACATTTCAACTACCACGTTGTTAAAGATAGGCTTTTTAAATTGATCTATTACCGGAAACCTATTTAGGAGGAAGGGATGGAGCCGTTTTTACTGACGAAAATATTTTTACGTAAATAGTTATCTCATTGTCCATTCAATAATTTCATTAACACTAAATTTTTTTGTGGGTAAAACGCCAGTGGCACCATAAAACGAAACTTCTTATACCTAAAATAATATATAAAGGCATTCAGATTATAATAATTGAGTTAATTTTTATCTAAATAAAACCTAATACAACTCAATAATCATTAGGAGTAGTGGGCTGATACATAAACCGATATTTGAAATCGGCTTTTTTTAAAATCCGATATTTTATCCTTTTCTTTTGGAAAATTAAAAAAGTAGGTAATAATAAATCTACTTTTCAACCAATATATCGGTTAATTTTAACATTAATTCATGGATTTTGATTTCAAGTATCGAGTATTGTTATAAAGAGGTATTGACCCATCCCTTATAATCAATAAAACAATCTTGAGAATTTTTTAGACAAAATAATGTTTATATTATGAATATTAGTTTTTGTGTTCATGCATATTCACAATTTTAAAAAACAATTCACCTGAAGAATTTCCAATATTCAAATATTTAAAAAAAAAACCAGATTTTTGGCATGGTAGGAAATGTTAGACGAAAAGCAATTCCATCAAAAATTTAGAATTAATACCAAGCTATTTGTCTCATAAAACAATGAATTGTTTTGCAATATAATCTCACATGATTGTTATTATCTTGTTATTGAGCATCACCCAGATCTATGAGTTTAACAAAACAATCTGATGTGGAAGTAATGGACACAGAACTCAGGCTAGGACGGACACTCAGAAATCTGCCAAAAAGAAACTTATTGGATCTTCAGCTATATTAAGTTTATCTCTAATGTGTAAAAAAATTTATAGGCAATCAATGGTAGGTTTGTAACAAAATATTTAAAAAATTAGCAACATACTAATACTGGTACATAATTTTTTATTCTATGTATATAAACTAAATATGATTTATTAAAATATTAAATATCATTGAATGTATGTATAAGGCAGATTAGACATGTGATTCTCAGTGGCTTGAACTTTTTGAAAGGTAATGGCTTATACCAAATAATTAATGATAATTAATTTAACTTATGTAATTGTAATTAATTGTTGGAACTTTTAAATTTATATAAAGAAATTTTTGTTCGGGATTTATATTGGTTGGGAAATATACAATTCAGGAAAAATAATATTCGAGAAAATGAATGGGAATATATCAATACACATATTTTACTATTTCTCATAAATAAATTATACACAACAAAAATACATTGCATTTGCAACACCTTTGCCATTTAATAAGGTATTCCAGCATGAACTACTAATATATTAAAAATACAAAATTATACAATAGATTAATACTGCAAGTGTGTAAAATTGGTCTTAACTTAAAATAACAATTTTAGGTGATTAAAAAAAAAAAAAAAAAAATAATAAAAAAACATAAATAAAATTATGGGCAATCAATGGTAGTTTTGTTACAAAAAATAAAAAAAAATTATAAACCCTAAATCTAAAAATTAGCAACATACTAATACTGGTGCATAATTTTTTATTTTATATAAATTTACTAAATGTGATTTATTAAAATATTAAGTGTCATTGAATATATCTATAAGGTAGATTGGACATGTAATATATTATAATATTATATAAAGATATAATATAATAATAAATTAATTAAAAAAAATACAATTTTATTTAAAATATAATATATGAACTTAACTAAATCTATTTGAAATAATGGAATGCATGCGTTACATAAATATGAATATATATATATATATAAAAATTGTTCATATAAATATAATAACAAGGAGTATTCTATAAGGGCAGTGAAAGGTGATGATTAAATTTGATCAAAAATATATCTTAAATTGTTATATACTGTTAGTATAACTATATTAAAAAAATGAATTGTGGTTTATAAAAATAAAATAAATGTATATCTTTTAGTATGCATATATATATATATATATATATTGTCATGTTACTTTATTGTGATGTAGTTTATAATTTGGTTTCATTTACAGTTTGATTTAGAGACCAAAAAAATAAATAAATAAAATATATATATATATAAACCCGACACTGTGATTAATACTGATTACAAAATAAAAATAATTATAATATATACTAAACATATAAAATTATTAGAATCTATATATATTATAACATAACAAATTTAAAAAGGTGTTAGATGAAGCTCAGGCATAGTGTGCATATTTATATAAAACTAACAGAATGAATCACAACAATAACCAACAAACCATTTAAAAAAATGATTGTGGCATACGATAAATTGAAAGTTGTAATGTCTATGATATTTTTAGTATTTACATGAAATTCAAAGTTAATTAAAATATATTTGTAAATGCATCATAATTGTTTTAATATATTGAAACATATTTCTTGTTCTTCAACTGAAATTATTATTTTTTTTTTCTAACGAACTTAATAAAGTTTTATCACAGACAAGGAAATACTAATATGATATTAATAGACACGTTACAAAAATACAACCAGTAGTTACAACAAAAGACAACCACAGCCTGCAATTTTAAAACTATGGTATTTATTTTAAGCGTTATTGGTCAAATAGTTAATAATAATACTGACATAAGAAGCTTTGGTTTTACGGCAGGGAAGATTTGTTAAAAAATGCATAAAAAAATATTATGTATAACCTAGGCGAATGAATAAATGTATCATAAATATTTGTCGAGAATTATACAAATGTGGCAGCGGAGGATGAACCAGTGACAGCTTGAAGTGGAGATTGTGGTGTAGGTTGCTGCTGTCGATTTTTTCTAGCTGTGCCATATTGACCAATAAAAGATCCATCCTCGGTAAACTGAGCTGTATAATAAATATAAAAATAATACTTATTCTAAAAATGTATTTTGTTTAGTGGTTATGTACTCACACATTTAGACAAGTGTGGCGAAACCGGCCGACGTGGTTTCGCCTTGTCTTTTTTTACCATATAAGCCAATGAAAGAGCCATCTTCATTCATTCCTTCTACATGTGAAATGGAAGAGAAAACAAAATAATAACTAACATGCAAGGAAATCAACAATTGATTAAACATAAAAACGTGTGCAGTATATTTTTTTTTGAAAACACGTTTGGAATAGTTGACAATTTTTATTTGAATAAAACTAACAGAACTATTTCTTGGTAGAATAAATATTGGGGAGCAAAAATAAATACTTGTTAATGATAAAAAAATTAAGTTACTAAACAAAAAAACTACAGACTATAATATGTAAACATTTGTTGATATAACTAATATTATACATGCGCACACAAGGAACAACTTTTTTGCATAAATTGTGAACCAAAAGAAAATACTTAATTTGAGAAATAATACTTTAAAGTGCAGGTTAGGCAAAACGAGAGAAAATGTTGTTATAAACCATAATAATATGTGATGTTATAAAAATTAAAAAATACCGGTATCTCCTTCGCCATATTCTGCCATTGAATCTGTATCACTTTCTGGGGATGGTTTTTCACTACCTAATCTTTTAGTACTCCCAAGCCTAAGAATTCATTAAATAATTAAATATTTTTATAATACAAGAAAAATAATAATTAAAATTGTAGTACACATACGGTTGTGAATACTCATGGAAATGAGGTTCATCAGGATAGTCATGTCGACCACGAGTTGCCTCTGATTCATGAACAATATATTTCCCACCTCGATTACGCTTCACTACACAAACAACAATCAACAAGACAATAAGGATTAACAAAGCAAGCAGCATTGCAATAAACCATCCTGACGTAGCCATATTTTCACTTCTTCTAATAATTGGATCTATAAAAATAACAATGAATTACTGTTTAAATTATAATTATAATATTTCTATATTTATTATTAATATTATTATGATATACAGAAAACCGTTTTACGAAAGAAGATTAGACCATAATTATGTCTATTAAAATCAAGTGTATATTTTTAAAAAGGACAAGTACATACATTTTTTGGTTCATTTTAAAACTAATACAGAGTAATAAAATATATTATAAATAATATTTGTTGTTTAGTACTATACTCTAAAAAAAAAATTAAGACTGTTTAATTAAGTTATAAATAATAAATTATAAACAGAACAAATTTAAAAGTTGATATTTTGATTTATTCCTTTTATTATAATTATTATTTATTTATGAATTAACACCTTATGGCTTTTTTTTTTTTTTTTAGAAATAAATAAAACATAACAGAATTAACAGCACAATAAAATATGGACATGGTACAAATAAAAATAGTTAGTGTTAACTAAAGACACCATTCTAATATTATGAAGGCATTTATTGCAAAATTATATCGGCTCACAGATAAGTAAAAGGACATCTGAAGTCTGGTTAGGCTATGTGGGTAAGTTATAACTTACAAGAAATAATAATTTTAAATCATTTATAAAAAAAAACCATGAAGAATATTATTATTAAAAAATATTTTAAAACTCACCTGAGCTTGAAGCTTCAATTTCAGCAATATCTGACTCTCTTATAATCTCACCATCCTGTGCTACTACAACAAATTCATACAGTTCTCCTGATACCAAACCACTTACGTCAATAAAATTTTTATCATATTCAGGTTTAGTTGATTCATACAAGTTACTGCCTTTGAGCCTATAATTTATTAATTTAACATAATTAATATATTACATAGATATAGATTAATTAATGCAAATTAAATTTTAGAAAAAATGTCAGAGCTGGAAGAGAGGAAGGAACAGTGACCAAATAACTCAAAAAAAAATTAATTTAAAGGACATGATTATTGCTATTGTAATTAAATATTTTTACTTGTATTTAACAAAGAAATGTGATCCAGGGTTAGAATCAAGTTTTGGTTTCCATGTTACGCGAACTGTATCAAAAGTAGTATTATTAGGTATATGGTCAGTAGAAAAATCAGGTTTATCTAGTAGTGTTCCTTCTGGTAAAGATGGTTTAGTTTGCCGTTCAATGAAAAACCTATAAGTAAAAGATTAATTTAATTACCTTAAACATAATGTTTAAAGGTACTATGAAGTATAAATAAAATGTATACATACGGTTCACCAGTACCAGCACGGGTAGTTGCTTTAATATTTATTCTATAATTTGTTCCGGGTTTTAGTGCAGCTAATTTGGCATTAGTTTGTTTAGGATCTTTAATAGATGGGCGTTGAGTCATTTCACCAACTCCCTCTTGAGTCATAGATTGGTAAGAAATCTCATAACCAGTTAATACTCCATTTGTTTGTTCAGGTGGCTGCCAACTTAACAAAATAGCCGATGAGCCCCAAAGCTGTGCATCAACTCCATGAACAGGGCCTGGGACTAAACACAAATTTAATATTACCTTTTGTACTTTTTTTTAAAATTTTTATTAGTTGTACAAAAACCATAAAAATGATAATATTCAATAATAAAAATGTGTGCTAAGTATTTCTGAAATAAAAATTTAATGTTATTCTAGTTTAACATTATCAATTACTTGTAATTTTGAACTTATAATAATAAAATAATATTTGTATTATTTTATTTAACATTCCTAAAAGCATTTAGTTGTATTTATGATTTAATTAGTTTCTCAATAAATATTTAATAGTTTAAAGACTGTGTAATCTAATATATTTTCCACTTATTTTAGAAGTATATATTATCAAATTCAAAATAAAAAATAATTAATTTCAATTCAAACTCATTTCATAATCGTATTTCTTTATTTTATTCAATGTTGCCACATGAAAAGATATTTTGAATAAACAATAAAAAAAAAAAAGAGCCGATACTGGGGATGGGTACAACTACTATTGTAGGTGGAAAGTTGGGAAGATTCTCACCTTAGAGAAATAGAGGAAAATTTAATTTAATTTATATCTGTACACAATTGAAACTAATGAAAAATGATTATGAGTGGAGCTGCTCAGTCATTAGTATTGCTTTTTCAATGTTGTGCGTTTTCACAGCTATTGTTTAAAAAATATTATGTAATAATAATAAATAAATAAAAACGATTGCCAATGAGAAAGATGATTATTAATCTTTATTAACTTAAGCTTTCTTTATTCTCTTGAATATTAATGAGAATTTCAAAAAAAATAATCTTTCTAAACTACCAAAATATAACAAAAAAGTATTTTGTCATATTTTAATTGGAGCAAAATTTTTAAGAGAAAAGTTATTTAGAGAGAAAAAAAAAATAAACTTCACATCTTAGTAAGATTAATAAATTTCTTGCTTCACATCTAAAATAAAATTATTTGACTTACAAAGCACAATTTAAAAACTTTTTATTACATTAATATTTGAATAATAAATTGAAAAAATAAATTTGTAGGAAAAATGAATTTGAAAAAAGAACTTTTGGAAGTAAAAAAATTAGGAAGGTTTTAAATACTACTGTATACATTTATAATTAACAGTGATTTTTGAATCAACTCTAATTGTTAGGATTTATTTAAATATTTAATAATATTATGATAGTTTCAGATTTTGCTTCATATTAATTATAATTCATTTAAACTTCACATTGTTGAAATGAGATTAAATTGTTTTTAAATTTTAAAAAACCGTAAATCTAAAATTATATAGTAATTAAAACCAAAAGATTCCAATAGACTTAATATTAAATAGCTAATATTTTTAAAACTTTAACTTTGTGTAACTTAAATAATTATAATTTTTAACATTTTAGAAAATAACTTAAATTAAGCATTTTGATAAAATGTAACTATTTTAAATAGAATAATTACAAAATTATACCTCCTTCAGGAGTAACCAAAGTTATTGGTTCACTAGCTGGTCCATTAAAACGGTTGTTATGTGCAAGAATTCGCACAAAATGTTTGGAATTAGGTACAAACTTAGTAATTTCCGTTCTTGTTATATCTGAACTAACTTGTTCTTCAATCATATTATTTTCACCGTCTTTTTCAGTCCAAAATTGGATCTAGTTTAAATATTGAATTAAATTAAATGTGTTTGCTATTTTTAATAAATAAATAAATTTACTTTATAGCCTTTAAAGTTTCCTTTTACAGATTCAGGCGTAACTGGTTCCCAACTCAGTTCTGCACTTCTACTTCCAGTAACATTCAAAACAGTTAAGTTTTGGGGGACTTCAACAGGGACTGTAATAATTTACAATTATGATTATAATCGTTAAATATAAAAAAATGATTTTTAATTTACCATCTTCGCCTGAATATCCAATAACTTCTCTTTGAGCTACGTTGGATTCACCTTTTTCATTAGATGCAACTACTTTTACTTTATAACGTTGGTATGTAGGCTGATTATTTATAACAAATTCTTTTACAGTATAATCTGTTATTTCATCAGAATTCCATACTTGGCCAGGTATAGCTTGTTTCCAATAAACTCTGTATCTTAAGCCAGGGGCGTTATGTTCAATTTTTGGCATTGGCTAAATATTTTTACATTTAATTGTTAAATATCAATAAAAAATAAATTTAAACAATAAATATCACTTACTGTCCATCTAATAACAAGATTGGATGGTTCAGTACCAGCAGCTTCAACATTTTCAGGATTTTTATAAGGCACATCTGGTTGTGTGGTACAAACACTTGAATGTAAAGATGGGTTTGATCTACCAATTTTGTTTGTTGCAATCACTCTGAATGTAAAATTTGCCCATGGTGTCATTGGCACAATATATGTTTGTTCATTAGCCGGTACATCTTTTGATGCCACAGACCAAGTATCAGGGGCAAAACTTGTGTTGTATTCAACAATGTAGTGCAGAATAGGTGCACGATTATCTCCTTTCGGTTGCCATTTTACAGCAGCATCTTTTTTATTACATGTGATTCCTAGTAACTGTGGTGGATTTGGTTTATCCTAAAATTATTTATAAACAATAATATAAATTATAAATAATAAACAAATGAACTAATATCTTTAAATAATAAATTATGATTTATACTTGAACAATAAGTGTTGCATTAGCCATTGCTTGATCCAACTCTGTTCTAGCAAAACATGTGTATGTTCCAGAGTCCAACTCTATAGTCTTTGTAATAGTCATAGAATAATCATTAGTTTTGACAAATCGAGGTTCAGAATCAAAATTAATAGGTTCATCTTTGGCCAACCAATCAATGTTTAGATTTAAAGAACGATCGGCAGTAGCTGTACAATGAAATGTGGCCATTGATCCAGCAACCACCTCATAGTCTTCTGGTGCTGCTGTGATTTTAGTATGTTCTAAACAAAAATTTAAATTTAAATATGAACAAATTTAAATTTAAAATTCAATGGTTACCTTTAACATTAAGAGTACCAGATGCATTAGCAGTTCCATAATTATTTGTGGCAATGCAAGTATAGTTTCCAGCATCAGTAAATCCAACTTCACTAAAAAATGTTAATAATTTTAATTTTTTCTTTTTAATATACCTATATACAATTTCCATGAAATAGATTTTAATTTAAATACAGTTTTAAAATGAGCTAATAGTTCTTTAATTAAGTGAATAGAGAAGTGTTAATTTATTTTAATCTTCAATTAGATGTCAAAAATGTAAATGTAAGCATCCCTCTAACATTTAATAATATTACAGTATTTTTCCCAGATTATAATACATAATAAATTATGAGTACTATATTTGATTGAAATTAATTCAGTTATTTTACATTTATGTTGAAATATACAATGTGCAAAGCTTATTTATAAAATAATTGAAAGTATCCTAGATACTTAAACATACAGACATTATAGATTAAAATAAAATATGTCTAATAAAACTAACCTAATTTGTAAATCTCCACTATCCAATGTTGTATAACGGCCTCCTGTTAATTCAATATTGTTTTTTGTCCATTTAACATGTGGTTTTGGCACACCAAAATTTTTGCATCCAATAGTAATAGCACGTCCATCAACAGTTTCAACATTATGAGGAGGTTCAGTAATTTCAGGTGCCAAAGCTAAAAGTGTGATATTAGACATTAATAATATAATACATAATAATATTTATTCAAACCATACCCAATACATTAATATACACGTCTTTGTATACATATCCAAGACTGTTGGTTGCATTACAACCATAGTTTCCTGTATCATTTTTAGTCAATGGTGTAATTGTAATGGAGTTAGAAGTAACTGACCGTCTAACATTTGGTATTGCTTCACTTAATGGTCGACCATTATGAATCCATTTAATAGTTGGTTCTGGGTTACCACTTGCTTCACATTTTATAACTGCGGTTTCTCCTTCAGCTCCTTCCACAATTTGTGGAGTAATGGTGAAATATGGTACAGCTATTAAATGAATAAGTATAATTATTTAAAAAACAAAAAAAAAAAACTGCAAATATCTTAATATCGTAATATTATACCATTAACATCAAGCTCAATATTATATGATTGAGGTGAGCCAACACCATTGCTAACTTCACACGTGTACATTCCTTTATCTTCAAATAAAACTTTTCGAATGACTAAACTTTTACCATAATTTCCTTGACTCACTCTCTCATTAGGTTGAATATGTGCTCCATCTTTTAGCCAAACAGTTTCAGGTATTGGTCTGTAAGTTTTATGTAAAATATATTAATAAAGGATGGGATGGCCTAAATCTTTTCATTTGGTTCTCGATACTAACAAGGGTTCTTTTTTTTTAAGTGTGGGAATAATTAAAGAACTATTTAATTATTAGAGTATTTTTTCATAAATAAAATAAGAACAGAAAAACAAATTGTAATGACGTAAAAAGTAAACTAAGAATTTTAAACATACTTTATTCATAAAATTCATACAATAACAGATATTTTTTTTACTAATTATCAGTTATCAGTGTTATTAAAGTAATAAAGATCATTTACATAAATATGTATTATTATTATGAATTAACACTGACATTTACTAAAAAGTATAATATTAAAAAAATCTTAATAATAATATTATTAAAAAAAAAAATTAAATAAGAACTGGGACCAATAAATGTACTAAAACCAAAAATGAATGGTTTCTTAAGAACCTATAAAAACCGAAAACCAGATCCAGCATATTCCTTATACCAAAGTTTATATTAATAAACTTTGGTATAATAAAATTAATAGAAATTAAAAATAATATTACGTACGTTCCACCATAAATACAAAACAATTCTGCTCTTTTATTAAGTAAAGCTACTTCCTTTCTTCTAGTTACATATTGTTGAGTAGGAGGGTATTTATTCTGTAAAGCTGTACCTGCAGTTTGAATAACATTTAAATTCACTGGATTACCCAACTTATATTCACTCCTAAAAATGATATTAATTACAATGATACAATTTATTTGTGTTTTCATAAGTTATATAGTAAAATTATAAATACCTGAATAAAGATGTAGCAGCACACGAGTACGTAAAACCATCGCTAGTATCATATCTTGTCACATTAGAAAACCAAAGATTTCCTTCAGGATCTAATGTCATTCTACTATTGTTGATACTTTTTATACCGCCATCTGTATTCTAATAGACACACAAAATATATTAATTATGACATAATTATCCTATGTATAGATGAATAATATAAAGTGTTTACTTGTATTAGCCAATAGACATTTGGTTTAGGCCACCCGGTTGGAGGATGGCAAACCAATTTAAATGGTTCCCCTTCTTGAGCTTCAATATAAGCTTCTGGCTCATTTTTAAATGAATTTAATTCAGCTCTCATAACCATAACAGATTTAGAAGTAGCTGTACCCCACGAGTTTTCAGCAAAACATTGATATTGACCTATATATGTACATATATAACAAACATTTAACTTAAGTTTTGTTCTTTTAAAAAGATTAGTAAATTATTATTCCACAAACATACCAAGATCTTCATTTCTAGGTTTAGTAACAGTAAGTGAACCACGGCCAGGTTGTTGAGCTATTCTATCATCATAAGCTTGCCAATCAAAGTTCTTACCATTTTTCATCCATCGATACCTTTGAACACAATTAATCAATTTAAAAACAAATTGTAAATAATTAAATTAATAATAGTAGTACTTTGGAGCAGGTTCTCCTTCTGCTTCACATTCAATTACAAATGGTTTATCATTTTCATTCTGTTGAGTAGCTACTTGGAATAATAGTTCATCAGGTGATTCTTTAACAATCCTCGGTGGAGATTGAACTAGAACGATTTGAGTATAATAATAATACAAATATTATACATTTTTTTTTTTTAAATAAAAGGGTAATAAACTGTATTTATTTACAAATCAAACAAATGTTAAAGATTTGTGATTATAAACTAGTAGTACTAGTAATAGTGTACTAAGTAATTCAAAAGTATGTATACATATAGTTATGTATACTTATACTAATAATACTTATATTAATAAGAAAATACTTACTTATAGATGTAGTTGTTACAAGAAAAAGGAACAATAATCCTCCTGAATACAGCAAATGTTGGGAAGTTCTATACATTTTAATGTATTTTAATTCCAATAAATTGACCAAAAGCTAAAATAATAATATATTCTTATTTTGAATACATAACAATAAATTTAAATGTAAATATTTTATGTTCTTAAAAATAATTATAAATACATTACAGTTAATAACATTTTTTTTTTTATATATATTGATGTACTTAGGAACTCGCAGTAATTGTAAAAGGTTATCTACATCTTCAATGCTATTAAACTCCACAGTATAATTTTAGTTATAATTATTAATACAAATTACATGTATGTATAAATATAATACTATAAGACATGATAAAGAAATTAAAATGAATCATTTTATAACTAGAAAAGTACTTAAAGTTTGTGACATATCTAATTTTTTCAACAGAAAATAATATGGTTCATACTAAAACATTGAAAATAACAATGTTAGATTACAAACACAATTATATTTGCTAGAAATACCTAGAATAAATGAAATGATTAATGAGTATACTTGTGAAAAAAATCTGATATAGTTTAAATAATAAAAGTACAAACATTTTAAGTTAGATTTTATAATATCTATAAATAGGGCTGAGATGTAAATGCTTTAAAAATATAAAACAAAATAAAGTTTAAAATGCATTATTTGTCATAGAACGTAATTTACCTTAATGGAGACTGCCACTTTACTAATTAATTTTTGCTTTTAAAATTACTATTATTATTTTTAAAAATAAAAAAAATAACTGGTAGATAACATACAGAACCAAATAATAGTACGCAGTAGATATAGAATAATCTACAGTAACTAACAAATAAAAAAAGAATCAAATGTTTAATAAAAAAATGTTGACTGAAGATAAATAAAAATTCTTTTAACACTGCTTGACAAAAAAAAAAAAAAAAAAGGTTAACTGTTTAATTTCTAATATATCTGCAATACATTTTAACATATTTTGTATTTAGAATGTTATTTAAAAATATTTAGATAAATATAAGAAAAAATAAAATATCAGAAAATTGTTTACTTTTAGTTATACTTACATTAAATATTAATTATACATACACAGATTATGAATACATAAATACTGAACTAAGCATAGCAGTGTTCATAATACTATTTTAGATAAAATGTTTATCAAATTATTTATATGAAATAACAATACATAAACAAATTATTTTTTTAATAATTACAAAATAGTTTAGACAGATAAATTGTAATAATACCTACAATTATAATTACCTATTTAATTTGTATTAGTTTATAAATCAATTTTTTAAATTTAAGTTGACAACTTTATTACAAATAATAGCTAACATTTTCTTTAAGTACCTATATGTTTAAAACTAAATTGATTTTCAATTAAATATGATAAACTTAATAATAATACCTACTAGTTCCATATTATATTATATGGAAATAATAACCTAATTATTAAAAATTCAGTTGAGATATTTTTTAAAAAATACTTTCATGCAATCTATTATGGAAATTTGAATTTGTATTCATCTTCTTAGAAACTACAATAAAAAAAATTATAAGATTTTGTCTATCAATAATTTGAATACATTTCTTTTATTTATTCATTATTGAGGTCTTATTTTAGGTAAAAAAGTTAAAATGTTTAAAATTATATAAATAGTTTTGGAAATAATAAATTATACTTATCTAAATTGGACTACACATTAAGTCATTAATCACCAAACACAAATCAAAAACTACCTACATTTATATCATGCAAATGTTATATGTTCTTACAATTTATGATCAAATTAATATAAATGTTATGAATAAATTAATAATAAAGTAATTAAAATATACCTACTTACATATACTTACCTATATACTAAAAATAATTTTCGAAATATTACTATGTGACAGTTTAAAGAATGTTAAAAATAAAATAGCAAAAATTATTATAAGCAAGAATGAACAGTACACGGTTACCAACAACAAGAATCATTATTGTAACAGGTCAATAGGACCTTAGCTATACTACATTGGCTTTTGGCTTTTGTGATTTAGAATGCATTTAACATTTAATTACAGTTGAAGGATACATGTGTAATAATCTCCAGTGTCTCATAAATATTATGAATGAATCATCCCTACCCCTATAGCATTTTAAATCAATCTAACAATAGTTAAATTTTAAGACGTGAACATTTGGCCAGAAAAAAAAAAATATAATCTGAATTCGAAGTGTTTAGGTCACGTACTTCATTCTACTAAGGTTTGGTTGAGTTTAGGTAACCCAAACTGTTAGCACATTAAAAAAAAAAAATCAATTTTATCCCTTTATAGTCTACTTTTTATTAACACCTAGATAAAACCCGTAAATTGTTTTAATACATTGATTTTTAGCTCCATTCACTTACTTATATGACTGTGATAGGACTGAAGTCGGACGCCGAAGTAAACATAATTAGTGGTGACAATATTTAAATTTAGAAAAACATCAATTTAAATTACATATTATTATAATTTAGTGCAAGCATAACAAAAAAATAAACGGATAATACATTCAACTATCCTTGGATATTACTACTGCAGACGCTATACAGCACTACAGCTTTTGCAGTTACACCCACAAATAAACAAAACAAATAAATTTCATGGAAATTGTAATAGCATCATGGAGAATATAAATTGAGGTTAGGTTTATTAATCAAACTTTATTTTTTATCCTTATCAGTCTGTTATTGATTAAATATAGTTACTATAATATTTTATTTACAAACCTATATTATATATTATATTTCCTCATGAATTCAACTTTTCTATATTCAAATTAATTTAATGTTTTTTAATGATATCAGATATCATCACAAAATACCTATGATAATATGATAATATTTTTATGTTTTCAATCTAAAATAATTACATTTCGTTTTATAAAATTTAATTTATATAAATTCAGTGTACATAATATCTATACTGAAAATCAGATATCTACTTAATTTACCACAGACCGAATTCATCATAAGAAGTAAATACTCATTTAAATTTATATAAAGTATAATTATAAATAATTACTAATCGCTAAATGTCTAAACATAAAATATCGTTAGTCATTACATAATTTCTTTAACTAATTAATAGAAATTTAACTATATGGTTAGTTAATAATTTTAAAAATGTTCATGAATGATTCTATTTTCTTTTTAAGTTGTATACATTATGTACAACTTATTGTAACTGATATAATTTGTATGTAATTTTTTAGAATGATTAATTGTCTTATAATATATTTCCTGTCATTCTAAATATGCAATATATTTATATGTGATTTAATATAATGTAGAGTATGCCAGTTTCAACTATAGAAACATTTTAAATTCTTAAATAAGATTTATATTTGATCTTGAATAAAATTATATTTTCTCTGTATAATGATTAAATTGTAAATATTTTATTTTTTTATAATAAATTATACATATACTTACCTATACATTACACTGTAAATTCTCAATTATACTTGAAATTTTGGCCGGAGTGGTAATCATAGATAATTTGAAATAGGCAAAAAATTAACATAAAAATGTTTTTTACATGTATTATTATTATTATTATTATCATTAACATTTTATTTTCTTACAAAAAATCATACATTATTTGTATTTCTTAAACCAACTCAGTTTAGTGAAAGATAATTGAGTTTACTGTATTAGAAAAAAAATCAACCCTTATATCCCACATAATTTTTTTGAGAACGCTGAGATTATTATTTTGATATTAAATTGTTGGTATTATTCTTTTAATAATAAGGTCTAGTCATGACAATTCTCAAAATTAATATTAACTAAGTATTTAATTGAGTCATTAATTGGTGTTGTGGCATTTACTGTTGTCTTTACCCTAGATATCTGTACCTAACTTAACCAAGCTATAACTAATAAAATGTTGAAACTGTAGGTAATTTAAAATATTAAATTACCAAATTCTAAATACATTGAACCACATTATTATGATAATATCATTAAATTTAAAAAAAAAAAAACAAGTGGTATTATTTATATATTTTAATATTTAATATGTGCCACATTTACCATACTGTCGATGATCCAACTATTATATATATATTATACTTATTATTAGAATTTATAATTTAATTTTAATCTCATTTTTAGATTAATAACAATGGAGAAATCAATTTTAGAAGATTTAAACGATTTAGGGAAACCCATTTCTACTAAAGAATTTAAAAAACTGATTGCTGGAGGAGCCAAATCCATAAAGTATACTCAACTAGTTGAATGGATAACAAAAGAAATCCAGGTATTATCAGGACTAGAAGAATATGTAAATGCTATAAATTCCGAAGCAGATTCTAGTTCTTTTTTGTTAGAAGTAAGTAGTTTCTTAAAAGAATGTGGCTGTTCTTATAAAATTCTTACTACAAGCAATGTTGAAGATCGTTTAAATTCACATGAAAATAAGCTACTTCTATTAGATTTTTTAATTGGTGAACTAAGAGCATCCCGAATATTAAATGTAAATGCTGTTAATAAAAAATCTAATATGCAAGTGACATTACTTGAAAGTTATTCATCTAAGTGTCTTAAAAACATTTTATTGACTTTAAAATTTCCAAAGCCACCTCAAGATATAGATGCTTCTTCTTTATTTAATAAACTTAATATTAAATTACAAACATTTTTAAAAACTGTTCCATGTGCATTAATTGGAAAATCATTAGTATGTAATTCATATAGTAATGAACAATGGAAATATATTAATAACATAATAGAACTTCTTAATGAAGAATTTAATATACGGAGTAAAATGTTATTAACTAGACTTGATGTAACATTTCAATCATTTAAATGGCCTGATAGGCTGAAAAATAAAAATCAAGAATTGGAAGAAATTTATCAAACCAAATTAAATCTAATAAATAATCTACCCAGTTTTTCTATATCTGATTTCCTACTAGCTAGAGAAGATTTAAGGATTGTCGAGAAAACGTCAAGTACTTTGGCTGTCTTAAATACTAATTCATCAGTAAATAAAGTAATGATTGGTCAAGTACCTGATAGAGGTGGAAGAACATGTGATCAACAAGCTCCACCCCCAGAAATGCCTAGTTGGCAGCAAAGAACGCAATCGCAAGGTTATGGTGGTGGTCAGCCATCCAGAGGACAATCTAATAGTAGAGGAGGACAATTTAATAGTAGAGGAGGACAATTTAACAGTGGAGAAGGTCGAGGTAGAGGTCAACAAAGCAGAGATAATAATTTATATCGAAACTCTAATAATATCGGTAATCAAAGTGGATTTAATGTTTATGAGGTGACTGATGGATTTCAATCAATCAGAGTTGATAATGAAAACAAAAATTCTTATCAAAATAATAGATCATGGCGTGTTCAAGGAGGCTGGAATAATAATCAATCAAGAGATAATCAAAGCAGTAGTTACGGAGGACAAAGTTCCTATAATACTTATAATCAAGGATACCATCAAAATAAAGTTTTTGATAACAATAGATTCCAAACCACATCAAATGAAAGACAATGGAACCAAGGTTCTCAGAATATTTACGGAAGTAACCAAAATGATGGCAATAGAGTATACGATCGAAATGATTTTGCAGATGGAAATAGACGTGGTTATTCAAAAAGACGTAGAGGTCAAAATGGACAGACATATTATAATCAACAGAGAAACAACTAGAACTGTTGATTAAAATATGGTATTAATAAGAGGTTTTATTAAGATCTGAAATTTATTGTTTATTCATAGTCAAACTATTAATTTTCATCAGACAAACAAGTTATTATATTATTATATATTTAAATATACGAATGTATGAAATTTAATATAAATTCATTGCTTTTAAACTATTTTTTTTTTATTTTCTGTTTTTTTTTAATTTTTACATTAATTAAATTATTTATTTTTAAATTACTGTAAATACTCATAACTTAATATTCCTAATATAGTAATATACTCATTGTATGTAACTTAATCTATAAGATATATTAAAAGTCTCTTTCATATTGGAACAATAGCAATATTAGATGGTTTATTTAGTGACTGCGGTCAATTTAGAAATATTATATAATTGATTTGATAAAAATAGTCAATGCTTATTGCATAATAATTCTTTAAAATTTAACCTTTTTGTATGATTATTAATTTATACATTAACTAGTTAGAAGTCAAAATTACTAAAGCTTAATTATAAAAAGTTCGACTTTTAATGTGAGTTAAAAACGATCAAATGAAATTTTATGTACTTGATCATTTTTCCTAACATTAGAAGATGTACTTTTTTCAATTTTAATAAAAAAAAAATGTCAACTGTGTTTATAAAATAATTGTTAATTCATAATAATTTAATAAATATTAAAAATAATTGTATATTATCAATAAAATAATATAATGAACTATTCACTGAAATTTAATTTGTATCAGAAACAGAAACTAGTACTGTATCCTGTTTCTTTGAACTGGAAGCAATATTTTGATACCAGTTATGAAATTATTTTGGTATTGCATAATTTCATGAGATCACATTTTTTCTTTTTTGATATTAGTATTGGCTCATCATACAACATTTTTATATTTTTGGAAGTTTAGGTCTACCTTTACCACCTCTTTTTTATTTTTTTCATACTTCATTAATTTTTAACCAAGACACTTGAGCACCATAGTTGTCAGTAGTTCTAGTTTTTATTAAAATACCTGCCAGACTTTTTAAATCGAGTATATCTGAGTATAATGGTTCATAAACCATTTATATACCATTATACCATAAGTACCCAGAACATTTTTTATTGTTTCTTTGAGACCGAGCAAGGCTGCAGATATTCAACCAATTGTGCATGGTATATACTGGTACATGCTTTTTAGCTGATTCAATAGTACTGTGCATAATGTTTACCTCCATGTATGAGTGACCACTATCTATTAAATTGTGATGTTGGCATATAAAAAATTATTAAATAACTTGATAAGTTTTTGCTAAAAAAATAGTTTAAATTCATGCACATGGTCAAAACTGTTTTTATATATCATAAAATATTTATAACAGAACTTGGTCATTTTTTCTGTACAATAATAGATTTGATGATGTTATTTTACTTGGCCACTTTATGCACATAGTCACTTTTTGCGTGACTACCAAAAATTATATATATATAATAAATATCATCTTTAAATACCACCTCGGTTAGATTTCCAATAAGAAAAAGTGCTACACTTGAAAATTGGAACAAAATTATAGAAAAGTTGTTCACAGACAAAAATAAACATCATTATAAAACCAATGCATTCTATACTCCGCTTAGAATCTAAAACAAAATTGCAAATAATAAAAGAATAATTTTTGTAAATTTTCCCGTTCTTATTCACCAACTAGATTAGAAATATAACGATAGAGGTCTCGTGTCGTTTTCCTATTGGAGCAATATTTTTGGTAAAAAACTTAAAGTGTACAAATTTATAATAATGAAATTATAATTTGTTAGTTTTTTTTCTGGTTTTTCCTAATTATTTTTTAAAACTACTTCAAGAATTAAAAAAAACAACTTTCTTCGTGAACATCCTGAAATAGTAGATATGCAACAGAAAAGGTTGGAATTTTTGATTAAAGCAATATTTCTGGTAGAAAACATAGTTTACAAAAACTAAAAACAATGAAATTAGTAATTACCCAATTATTTTTAAAACTTTTTGGTAAATCAGAAAATGACCTATTAATGTACCAAACACGATTAGGTTAAATATTATAGAATGCACAAGCTGCTTAGACAAATGATTATTAAAATTGTCTGTCTATATCAGGTCTTTTCGTATAACAGATTGTTCGAGTTATCTATAGTTTTTCTTTCAAGTAATCGAGGTTTTCGCCAGGGAACAGCATTTATTTCGACTTATCAAGGTTTATCCAGATTCCACTGTACTTACATAGGAAAGGTCATACTATGGCATTTTATGTATTTTATTGAAATACGATCTATGGGTCGTATACTTGTGTATGGTTTAAATAGGCACTTGCTTATTTAGTGTTATATGATGTCTAAGTGCATATTGTATCATATCGTTTTAGGCCATTTATACATCATTTTAAATATATATTAAACTAATATACCTAACAATTACTATGTTTACATGCACGATTAAAGGCGGTTTAAAAATTAAAGTGGTTAAATCAATTATTAATTGTTAATATAAAGCATTATGTAAATGCTTTAAAACGCCCTTCATAAAATAAACCGATTTAATTTAAGGACGCTCGAATATGTGGTTTAACGAAATTATATCGGTTTTATAAATAAAATCGGTTTGTTTTTTATACATGTAAATGAAACAATCACTTTTATTTGGTAAGTGATAACATAAATCATAATACAATTTATTCAGATTTAATTTTTACAAATTATTACTTACGACTTTAATATTAAAGACTCGCATGTAAACAAAAGCCAAGCAATTAGTTCGACTCATAATAAAATCGGTTTAAATTAAGAACGGCTCAACTCGTATCATGTTAACGTAGTAAATGATTAGCTTGCAACTTAGAATGGTTTTGGCGATTTGTATCATTCTCTTGGTAAGTTGATGCTGATTACATGTACGTACCTATAGGTCTGAGATCAGTAGTTGACGGTAGATACAAATTAGAAATTATGTCTACATTGTAGTGGTAGATCTGTACACATTCAAAGGAAAAATAACTTTATATTTTTGTTAGATGTCATATATGATGGTTTTTTTTTTTCAAATATTACCTATCTATATTATAATGCATTTTCACCTTTTGAGGCACACTTTAATTTTTATTGTAATTAACTATTCTTTATTGAAAATAAAACAAATTCATATGACATTCAGTAGCGTACGCATGATTTTACTTCAGTTAGGGTTTCCATTATAAGTCGATCAAAGACACGTGGGTGGCGAAGCCCCTCACACCCCCTGCTCTATAACTGAACTTGTAAATAACACCAATATTAAAACACAAAATAATGCTTCCAAGTTCCTATTTTTATATTAATTGTCTTAATTCTTAAAATCTAATACTTAATTTGATAACTAACATTTTTTTAGTAACAAAATAAAGTTTTTGGTAATAACATATGATATATTATTAACAAAGTAATGAAATAACTAAACAATATTCATACAGTTTTAAAAGTAACAATTTTATATTTAATTTATAATAAATTTAATATCATGGTTACTAAAGCTAGAGCCTTTCAACTGGAATTTGGAATTCAACTTCAGCAATTACTTCCTTCCATTGAAAATATATTGTTTACAAATGAAATAATGTTATTATGAATTATAGACCTCACGTACATCATAATATTATAAAAAGTCATTTTAAATATGTTTACTTTTAATAAAATTAAAAAATCTACAATGCTATAAGTATTGGGACATCGGTTTGTTTGGACTCCGATATGTGTAATCTCCTCGAACATCGTTATCACTAATGTCGCGTATTATGAATATGGTGCGGTGATAAGCAAAGTATAGTGTAAACCATAGATCCAAAAAACATTTGTTGATAGCTCTATCGTCTATGGTGTAAAGTGTAAACCATGATAGAGTAACTAGACTAATATTTAGACTAATTATTATTCTATGGTATAAACCTCGGTTGTAGGCCGTCTTAGACCTTCTATTTACATAAAACGTTAAAAGTTCGTTTTCAACAAACGAATTGAATTTTACCACATAATTTCAATTAACTAGTTACAAAGTACTTACCATAATATAATAAGTTATTATAACAGCATAATGCATATTAATATAGTAGGTATACTGTTTTATCCTATAGGCTGTGGGTTCACAGACTAGATTAAAACGTGTATTTAATGTACTAATAATACAAATTAAAAATACGTCATATTTTAGTAGGTATCTAATGAAAACATAGAAAACATTTAAATAATTGTTAATACACAAATTATTCATAAATAGTTTATGAAACTACAGTTGAATAAGACAAATGAAATTTAATTATTATTTTAGAAACATAAACAATAATTGGTTGGCAGCTTATATGATTTTAGACCCTGACAAATCATTACATACCTACCACATTAGTGATGCCAGTTTTAGTATTGTGAAAAAAATTACCTACTTAATGTTTGCCAGGAATTTTTTTTTGAAGTTTAAATTCTGGCGAAATATTTGTGGGTTAAGGGCACTTTTTGCAATTAAAACATAGGAAGTAAATATTAGGAGTAAAATGTATAAATGTCTTATGGTTTATCATATATGTATCTAATAATTAAATAGAGAATTTTATATAGGTATATATATAAAAAAAAAAAAACTATTTTTAATTATACCTATTGGTGTAAAGTACTCAAACCGAAATATTTTGGGGAATGTTTGAGCCCCCTATATTATTGCCTATATACTTATATTTGCACAGTATTTACTTGATTTGAGGGGACAACCCTTTTCAGTTTCCTCATACCCTAATTGCTACATAGATGTTACCCGTGTTATTTTACAAACGTATGACATAGGTTTAGGTAAGTACCTATCAAATCTGTGTTCAGCATAGACCGTCCGTTTCCTGTTATTATCTTATAAGATAATAACTATAGTTTTTAGTTTAAATACCTGAGTGAATTATGAAACTTACCTAAAGATAAGAACATTATATGTTTTTTTTGATGTTTAAATTTTTAAGCAAGGAATAGACATTTTTTAAATTGTAATACTTATATTATAATACTTCTAATAGTTAGATATAAAAGGTCTCATGATAGCCATAAATCATATATTACATCACACCATACAAATATACAGTGTATACAGTATAGTTTAAAAAAATGACAAAAATAATACCTAATACCTAACTAATATGTAACTAACTATCAAGTAGGTACCTAGGTAATTAATTAACTTACATAATAACAATATATCATATCAATGTACTATTTACCTACATTTTATAAATCTTAGAAGTAACTAATATACTCTAGTTCATATCCTGTACCCATTATTATATCATTATAATCAATGAACAGAATCATGTTAGAGGTAACAACAGCCGACAAAGAACACAGCATATAGGTACCTAATGCTCCATGGACTACAAAGTTTGGTTCGACATACTCTACCTACATTTTTGAAACGTTTTCAAAAGTTAAATTTTTGAAAAGCAAATACCTATCGAACAAAATTAATATATCTCAAAGACACATTGTGTATAAACTGTTCTCCACGAGTTCCTAATAAAACTGAACTAGGAAAGGAAATGTAATTTATTAGGTACATTAATCATAGAAAATAAAAGGTTTTTAATTACTTATCTTACAGACTCATGTGATATTATAATGGTAGGTAACAAATCAGTTGATATTATGTATTTTTTAAAACAGTATGCTAGTAATAAGTACAATTTGTTAAATAAGTCAATTTGTTAGGACAGCATTGTTGGACCCCGTTTATTATTATTTTAATATTCCGGATTAGAAAATAAATTATGAACTTGTCGATCCCCAATCAGCTATGGCCTCCGGTTAACATGGATAACTCGAAAAAGACATTGAACGTACCTATAGTTACGCCAAATATTATTTATAGTTAATATACGCGTTCCAGAAAACGTTTACAGAAAATCATAACTTACCTACGTTTGATTTTACTTAATTCTATTATTGTGGCTTTATAATTTAAGTTAGGTACTCCAACTAAACAAATGTTGAACAGGGCCGTATTTAATGGAATGTTTTAAGGGCACTTGCCCCGGGCGGCAGATGTTTAGGGGGTATCCGAATGCCAGAATACCATATGAAAAATTAAAAAAATTTTGACCCTTGCTTAGGAAATTTATGGAAAAAAAAATATCAACTTCTATAAATAAAGATTGATTTGTATTTATATGTTTTGTGATACATGAACACTAGTATTTCAAACTGGAAATAAACATATTTTAGGTAAATAGTTATAACGTGCAAGTTTGCAATTTTTAATTTTTTTCCTTAATTACTTAGATATTGGGTATTTTTAATTTTTTCCATTAAGGCCTCAAAAAAAGATTTTCCCCGGGCATTCTGAAAGTCTAAATCCGACCCTGAAGTTGGATGTACTATTTTGTAAATATTATTCATTGATTTTAAAAAACAATTTTATTATGTGTTATTTTTATCTTTTTCATGACTGTTGACAACTTTTCTATCAGAATTATTGCTCAAATCTTCAAGTGTTGTATCTTTTCTAAATGCAAATGTTGTCTATAGTTGGTGCATTGAGGAAGTTATTTTATTTTATTTTCCTTATAGTTTTCTTAACAATTGGGAAAAACGGGAAAATGTACGAAATACGGTTTCTGTTAGTTTCGATTTTGTGTTTGCTTTAATTCAGTTAAAAATAATTCAAGAGACCTACAAATTTTACAGAACACTTAAATTAACCTTTCCTAAACGTGAGAATATGTTCAAAGCATTTTCAGATTTTTGAGCTTTTTACAACCTTTTTATTTTGTACTTCCAAGTGTTTTAGTTTTTATTTGATTGTATGTTAATAAAATTATATTAACCCATCCAATATGTTTAAAAATTTAATACTAGGTTCATCATAAATTGAACCTCGTATTAAAATATCTAATAGAATTATCATTATTTTTTTTAAAAGCGTTCAAATTAAGTTTTTCGATTTATGTGAATACAATTTTATCATTCTTTTACTTACCTTTATTATTTTTTTATATTCAAATAATATACCTAATATATATACACTAAGAAAGCATTTGTATTATATCGGTTTTTGTTTTTGATTTTATATAATGATGGTACCAATAAGAATACCTAACGCAATAGTTAGTAATGATACAACGTGTACATTGGCATTATGCCTATGGCCAAACACCTGACAATATATAAGGACCACTGTGTCGCTCTTAGAATCAGTCGAGTCAGTACCTTCTCCGTTGTGTGTGCATCTTTTTTTTTATTTACAATCAAACATTAATATAAACAAAATGGCTGTGATCAAGAAAGACACACAGATGATGCCTGCTTTAGCTGATCCAGTGGCTTTCATTAAGGATTTCATGGCGGGTGGTATTTCTGCTGCCGTGTCCAAGACTGCTGTAGCTCCAATTGAACGTGTTAAATTGTTATTGCAAGTGCAACATATTTCCAAGCAAATCAAACCTGAAGACCGATACAAAGGTATTTTGAGTTCAAATAATATTATTTAAATTAACTTCAGTTGACTGAGAGTAGATACTTGATGAGTTTTTATTTAATGGACTGTCATTTTTAGATTACGATTCAGAGCAGAGATAGGAAAAGCCATAATTGATCTATTATGGTTACATTATGTTCAAGTATAGGTCTGTTAAAAACACAATTTTTAGCCTAGCTTGGATTAAAAAAAAAATCGCTTTATATTATTTACAATTAAAACATTCTAAACAGTTTGCGTTTATTGTTGTTTATAACACAAATATTATACGTTATAACGTTATAACGTTTACGCTTAACGTAGGTATATAGTCGATAATTGTTATTAAGATAGTGAAGGTAGCTAATTTAAAATTAAAACGTTTTATTACGTTTACGTTATGCGTTATTTGACGTGATCATTGTACAGACTTAATAATATTAATTATCCTCTATTAATTTGTTTACTTTATTGATCGCAATAAATTCAAACATAAAATGCACAAGTAAATCATAAGTTAATGAAGTAGCCAAGTAGGTACCTTTATGATCTCGTAATATTTATTTAATACTTGGTAATTACTTCCTGTAGTATCTAATTTGTCTTTAATATAAAAGTTTAAAAGATGTTTTTAAATCATTCTTTAATTTGCATTAACTATCTATGTGTTGTTTCTAATAGTATGTATTTGCTTATAATAACATCATATTGTTTATATTAACAACATAAATTATATTCTCTATATTTTTAATTTTCTTTAGTTTTTTTTATTGCTACATAGGATTTTGTTTTCTGGTATTTTAGGTATATCTTTTTCCGTTGTAGCTACGCTTACAAAGTTCAATCGATTTTTTGTAACGATATCATCGTATTTATTTAGTTATACTACGTTATAAACTTATAAACCTATAATCACAATGTTAATAGAATATTTGTAGTGACACAGGCTTTTAAGACATTTTGTGCTCAAAACCTTTTATATAACAGCCAATAGGTATACCTACCTACCTAAATAAATAGGTATCAAATTATACACGGATGATACTTTAGTAAAACATTTTTTGTAAATTCTCATTTTCACGCTATGGAAATCTGAAAAAGTGAGAAAAAATTCAAACAAGCGTTAAAATTGTATTTCTGAAATTTACTCGCACTACCATTTTTTGAATGTAAGAATGTTTCCAATATCTCACATTATTTTCTAATGTGTACCTATAACCCGATTAAAAAGATACACAATATAGGTAGGTACCTATTTATAACTATGCCTATTAAAATTAATACAATTTGATTATGGCTAGGTATGGTGGACTGTTTCATACGTATTCCTAAGGAACAGGGAATATCAGCCTACTGGAGAGGAAATGCGGCCAACGTGATTAGGTACTTCCCGACTCAAGCTTTGAACTTTGCCTTCAAGGACAAGTACAAGCAAGTATTTTTGGGCGGTGTAGACAAAAATACACAATTTTGGAGATACTTTGCCGGTAACTTGGCATCCGGTGGTGCTGCTGGTGCCACTTCTTTATGCTTTGTATATCCATTGGACTTCGCTAGGACCAGGTATGATTACAATGTACATAAATAAATAATTATCCTTAAAAGCTCTATAACATTACTTTGTTAAAACTGATTTCTAAATACTTATTTTACAAAAGATTGGCCGCTGATGTTGGAAAAGCTGGAGCTGGTCGGGAGTTTAACGGTCTTGGAGACTGTTTGACAAAAGTATTCAAATCTGACGGAATAGTTGGTTTGTACAAAGGTTTCGGTGTATCCGTTCAAGGAATTATCATTTACAGAGCTTCGTACTTTGGATGCTTTGACACTGCCAAGGGAATGTTGCCCGACCCAAAAAATGCTGGTTTCCTATTATCGTGGGCTATTGCTCAGGTACATTAAACATTATGAATACATAAATAATAATTTAGTTTATATGAGGTAATAAATATATAAAAGTGGCAACTAGTGGTGGATTGTCGATTTTTTCGGTCAGTTAAATATGAATCAAACCGACTGGCAGAAATCAAAGGCGCAAATAGAATAAAATGCTGGCAGTGCTAAAACTCAATGCATTATAGTGAAACGCGAAGGGTTTCAACCCAATTATCAACTAAATCGTCAATTAAATTATGTTGTATGATTATCAAAATATATTGCAAAGTTTAAACATCAAACAATTATGTAAATTCTGGGAGTACCAATTTTAAAACTGGATGTTTTAAGCATTCCTTCCCCCTATTTATAACCATACCACAAGAAAAAAAATGTGACAAATTTAGGAAATTTTGCTTTTTAACAAAAAAACCTTAGAAGATTTTATCATATACAACAAATACAAGTATACATAGTAGAAGGTTTTAAAGTAGGCAGGTATCTAATTTTTTTATTCAATACCTACTGAATTAATTTAAATATTTAATACAATATTAAGTTCATTTCAAATGGAAAAATTAATGGTTAAAATATTAAATATCTAAACCTATATTTGATAACATAATTTCCAATCTTGCGCAAAGATAATTAAACATTTATCTAAATAAGATGAAAGATAAACAATTTTAATTTTAATATAAACAAAACGTTTTTTTATCAATATTAATATAATCAAGGCGCAGCCCTCCCTCCCTTTCACAGATACATATCTGAAAGAAACGCGGATTAACATATAAAATATACAATAACGACTAACGTTTATATAAATATATACCAATACTATTTTGAAAAATCAGTACATTGTGCATTTATGTTAACTATAATATTTAGAATTAAGTAGATAAAGATCAATCAAAATATCAGTTGTGCACTTATGTGTGTGTGCATGATATGGGCATATGAGCTTATTACGAATAATGGTCTATGGACTATGATATGCACAACATTAAATTCCAACCATAGAACCCGTATCGGGCCGTATAGAATAGGAAATTACTTGAATAGGCGAAAAATTATTATTACTTTATATTTTTAACTTTGTTCTATTTAATTTTTGGAAGGAAAAAATATACCTAACATTTATTTATCCTGATAGATTAAATTAGATAACAAATTCATCAGATTATCAATTTTATTGATTACTTAGATAATATAAAGTATAATTAATTATTTATCTAGATAATGTTCAACACTGATAATTTCTCTATATAAAACTTACTTTCATTTTCCAATTATTCGACTGTGTAACGCATAATATTATCGTAAAACACTATAAAACCGTAATTTGATTACTATCAGTATTCAAAAGAATTTTATAAATTTCTTAATAATACAATGGCCTACACGAAGACTAGGTCTTCCGGAAATTTCCCGGTTTCTCAATTGACCAAACTACTCCTGGTGGGAAATCTATGAAGATTGATTTTATAATTTTTAATAGTTACACAACGTCAAATAATCGATTCAACATGTTAACAAGATAACATTCAAATTTACAAAAAAGACACTTAAGAATCTTTAGACTAATAAATTTAAAAATATGTGTGGGAGTAGCCCAACAATTTAAAAAAAACCGTAGGTTGCTTAGGTACCTAAAAATTATGTTTCTAATATATTTTGATTTTTTTTTTAGACTGTGACAACTGTTGCTGGTATTGTTTCCTATCCCTTCGATACAGTTAGGAGGCGTATGATGATGCAGAGTGGTCGTGCTAAGGCTGACGTCATTTACAAGAGTACTCTTCACTGTTGGGCTCAAATTGCAAAGACAGAAGGAACTAATGCTTTCTTTAAGGGAGCTTTCTCAAACGTATTAAGAGGAACTGGCGGTGCTTTAGTGTTAGTGATGTATGACGAAATCAAAGCTTTCCTTGTCTAAGATAAATTCCATTGTATAGTAACCAATTAGGATGTAAAAATGAAAAAAAAATATACTGTTGTTTTCGGCCAATTTGCTCAGACGCTTAGGAAATTGACTGAAATACTTGTATCATTAATATCTGACTTGTTATCGTGTAAATAAAGGGAAAATTGTTACTTAATGTTTATGGTTTTATTTTTTTTAAACTAAAAAATATTCATATAGAAAAATAGTCTGAAGGACATGGTGATACTTTTTCGTTTTTGTAATTTTTTAAGGTTTTTAGCACGAAGCGCCATGGTCTTACTCGTAGTGGATACTAGTAATCTACTATAAGCTACTAAGCGGCGTACACTTGAAGTCACACATTTTTAGCCAGCCAACTGTCAATGCCATTCTATATTTAACGACCCAGTTAACTCGTTGCCAAAATATAATTTCAATAACACGCCTATTAATCTAGTATAGAGGTTAATATGCAATTATTTAATTGTTTACAGTAATAATATTAATGAACTTAATGATTTGTTTTTATTTATTATTTTTATTTTGTATTATCTAAAACTAATAAATATCTAATAAGTATAGGTACTTAAACCTAATAGTTACTGCTGCTGCTGCATAACAGAATAAATTAATGTTACGTATGTTTACTACTAGATATACTAATTTAGTTTAATTTTTGAAAAAAGTTTAAAGTTGGCAACATAAAAAAAATTTTCAGATAGAATAGACTGTGCACCAATAAATTAATAAATTAGTTTTTCCATAGATACCCCCACACCAACACATGGATTTGATTTTTCTTGTTATCCGTATTACCACGGAAACCCATAATTCAACAAAAATAATTAATTTTCCGAACTAAAATTATTTATAACCTGAATTTTAGGGGATGGTATTAAATAGGGGGTGAATTTCATTAGTTATTAACCTTCTCTGGACGATACAGAACATTTTACAAAAAACTGCGTTAAAATCGGCCAAGCCATTCTCACGTGATGCAATGACCAAGGAAAATAGGGATTCATTTATATATATATGGATAGATTTATACACAAAAAAAAAAAATGCGTTTCTTTTGAAACCAATAATAATTTTAAATTTGTAATCTAAATCTCAAATCATAAATTGTACGGACAGATGATAAATTATGAACATGGGTAGGATTTCATTTTTATTTTTAATTTAAGTTTTCGATTAAATCATTTATATGGCATTATAATGAATATTTTATTATATCATTGATTATAAGAACTATTTATAATCGATGATTATACTAATCTGTAGTAAATTATTTTATTTAATAACGTTAATTAGAGAAAAAATATTCGATAAGTGTATAAACACTTTTTTAAAATATTCGAACATACATATGTTTTTATGTATCTTAATATATTTTATGAAATGTATTCGAATACGTATTCTGAATAGTTTTTTACTAATATATTTGAATATCTAGGTATTCTGAAAACAAAAAAAAAATTAGGGATCCAATATACTACAAAAAAGATCTCCGTCATTTTTTCATTGAAACAATATTTCTGGTAGATTAGCAATTGTTCAAACTCGAAAAAAAATCAATTATAAAAATAATAAAAATTGCACACGTCATAGTTAAACCAATACGTTCCTTGCAGTCCTCAGAATCTACAAATATTATTTCTATTTAATATGATATGTATTTTTTGCACATTATATTGTCGCTATATGCATATATATTATATATATATATATATATATATATATTTATATACATTATTTTATCTATTATATACTTAAATAATTTTTGTTATTTTTTTTTATATGTAAATATGTAAACGTATAATATTTTGAACATAAAAGTCCTTAATTTTTTTAAAAAAGTACGTTCATAATATTTAAAAAAAAAATGCTGATACTAATGATGGTTATGGCACTGTTGTATATGAAAAGTGAGATAGGTTAGATATATACATGGTTATTTAATTTATAACTGTAAGCAACGATAAACCATTACTGACGAAGTACGATTCTAAACGAAGTTTGAGTATACATGTTTTGAAATACCATAATATTTACGATTTTTATCAATTATGATCTTAAAATGCTTATAAAAGAACTGCTATATTGCGCTCAACATTTTTTTTGACTATTAAGTTATCAAGTTACTAAGTCTTATAATGAATCTAGAATTCAATTCTCAAACAATTCTGTCAAAATTTAAGCTCTTAAAAGTTTTTAACCAATTAACAACAAAAAACCAAAAAACGAAAAATACGAATATTCCAAAAAACTCATATGAGGTACCCTCCAAAATATTGTTATCCATAAATTTCATAATGGGTATTTTTACTTTAAAACCGCTTTTTAACAGCCGTTTCGTCGTTTATATTAAAATGTTGTTTCCATAGGTGAGGGCCCACAACTGTGTATTGTTTACTGGGCCCCTGAAAGTCTAAGTACGGGATGACAGCTAGGTCCAAAATGTAATAAAAAAAGGGGGATTTTATATTTTATTGATCAGAGCAAGATTTATGGTGGAAGAATTGTTTACAGAAAGACAAAAATGATACCAAAAGCACATATCATTATATAGTAAACTAATACATTACTCATTAAATTAGGAATTTTAAAATGTTCATCGCAAAAAAAAAAAAAACAATTCTCAGCCAAACCGCCTAAACAATTTAAAATTGAGAGGGATTCGCTCAAATGAAAGCCTCGTACAAGAAACGACGGAGAAAACGACGATTACGTAATTTTTTAAATGAGATATAAACATTTTAATTGTTTATAAAGACCGTAGTAATTGAGTAATTTACCAACCACAAAGGATTAATATTGCACCGTTGACTATACGTGTTATGACGTTTATAGTATTCATTTTACTACTTATACTACATTGCGCATTATTCGGATATTGTTCGACTGTGGCGTAATAATACCGTGATGTTTTTTTTTTCATTATGACGGCGTTATCATTATAGTATGTTCTAATCAACAACACTGTGTATTGTTCCCCACCCATCATCCGAATGGTACAAATATCGATATACCCATACCTGTATAGATTATCACAATGGTCCGAGCGTACACGAACATTCGACTTCCACGTCCGAGTACCGCCGCCGCGGCAACTTTTTACAAACAGTGCCGGTCGTGGGCAGTCCAGTAGGTAGTCGAAACTTCACGCTCGTCGCTATTTGCTCGACGTGTGGTCCAATCGGCAATAATTTCCGTTAGTGTCGGGGTCGTCGCGATTACTATACAACAATAATATTCTATAATTATAATGGTCGTCGAGTGGAGTGCGGCGTCCTGGCCAGCAGCGGTTATCCAGGTGTCCGTGGCCGTCGCGGCCGTCACTGTTCTGCTGGGCTACGCGTACTCGACGTACCACTACGGCAAGTGGAAACGTCTCGGGGTGCCGCATGCCGGCGAGCCGACACCGTTGCTCGGTCACCTGGCCGACACCATCATGGGCCGCATGGCACTCGTCAATCTGGTGCACGCGTTTTACGGCCAGTTCGACGGGTGCCGGTATTTCGGGATTTACGAGGCGCGCAAGCCTTTGCTGGTGCTCCGCGACCCCGAGCTGGTGCACAGCACATTGGTCGGGGACTTTACACATTTTTACGACCGAAACGCAAATAAGGTGTCGTTTAAGCACGACAAGCTGTTCGATCACCTGGTGAACCTTCGGGGCGAACAGTGGAAAGCGGTCAGAGCTAAACTCAGCCCCACGTTCTCGTCCGCCAAGCTCAAGTCCATGGTAGGCGACATGAACGAGTGCACGGAACGGCTAATTGAAAACCTGAACGGGCAGATAACGAGCAATAACGGTGTGTGTATAATAATAGACGTTACCTATTCTTCGTTATAGATCATGAACTACACGGTCAGGGTCGGATCAAACATTTTTTATTAACAAAATATGAAATTGGTGTCATTTTAATAGATATGGGGTAGACATAGGGAATAGATAGGTATTTAAATTAAGTTTAACAAAAATTACAAATTANATGGGATACAAAATTCGCTATATTTTATTTATCTGTTTCATTATGAAGTGATTTCTCTTAATTACATAATCCTTCATAAGAAAAAAAAATTGTTTTATAACGGAAAAAAAAACGTAGATACTAGATTAGGGAAAATATATAATTTAATACGAACGTAAAAATAAAAATGTTGCTCGACTCAAACGTTTTACAATAAATTATTTTCAACACAGATATCTAAAATCATTTTATAAAATTTTGAAAAAATTTAGTTAATAAGCTCAACACATTGTAAATATACAGGGCCAACTTTATCCTTTTTGAGGATCGGGGCAGTGGTATAATGAGGCCCCTACGACTTGGAAAAAGTACTATTTTATTAAACCAGGTAAATAGGGCGTTGGTAGATTAGAAAAAGTCTAGATTATTTTTATTATTTTTATTACACATTAAATATAGGTAGTATAATATAAATTTAAATATTAAAATTATATCAAATAATTATAAAATAATCTGGAAATTTTGAAAATTCTATTTTTATTGACGGGTACCCTTCTAGATATAAGATGAGCAAAATCGTTAATTTCTTCTTTGAAGTCTCGGTTTTTGAGCATAAAACATTCAATTGACATCAACAATTAAGTGTTCAATTTTTTCTTGTAGCATTATACTTCTTGATTCATTTTTAATTTGTAAAAGAACGCTCTCCGTTGCAGTTAGTTACAATCATGCTAAAAAAAAAATTCTCAATAAAATTTCTATATTTAGAAATTTGTCTTCAATTTTGTTTTATTTTAAAATATAGTGTATTCAAATTATACTATCAATTTAATTTTTTTCACTATAAACATGTATTCTTTGTTTTCCAAGTATTCTTTTAGATGCACACATTCCGTTTCTAACTCTGTTTAATTAACGTCATCGTAATAGTTTTTGGCAAGTTCTTTGCAACATTATCACAAGGCTGTAGAATTCAGATTTTTCAAACCGGTGTACCCTGCATCTGTTTGTTTATAAATATTTATATATGTATTATGTGTGCGTGTACCGTGCGGTCGGTCAATCGACCTGTGTCGACTGTCGATTGTATTATTATTATTATTATTATTATTATTGTTATTATTATTAGTGCTTATCCTTTGATTTTTCTCGAAATGAGTTTATTTATTGGTAATGAATATCGATTATCGGTTAGTGATCTGAGAAGAGCTTGGATCCTTATCGATCGCGGCGCAAAGGGCACGTGCCTCAAGTGCTCAATGGGAAAGATGTGCCTATAAATGGTG